ATGAGCAAAACAGTAGAATGCATTTGATGGGCCCCTGCAATATGAAAAGCATGTGTGTAAGAATATTTCACTAGCGCATAATAGAAAGTCAGCAAAAAAAGGGGTAATCATGAGTAACAGTTCCAAAAATAACAAAATAAAGAACAATATGTTTTTTCCTTCACAGTAATACACTTTCTCCTACATTAGTTGCAGTTATTTAAAGTCAGGAAGTAACTACGTGCATTATCAAATACAATTTGAATAACACAGTCAGAAGCATACCCCATAATAGTGAATAAGCTGCAAAACATATCCTGCAATTTAGACAGAAGCTGTCAGAAAAACACCTTGAATAGAAATGTGATATCATTTCTCTCAAACAAATTTCCAAATGTCTTGAAGAAATTGAGATTAGAGACATCAGCTTGTCTTGCAGCAATTAATAATATTAACAAACCAACATGATAATTAGATAACAAACCAACTGTACTTCCAATCCAAGAAGACAGTAGCACGAAATGTGATCTCCCAGCCAATTGCCTACATGGATACTTATAGGGACATCACTTGCCACATTGAAGTAAGGGTCTATGACATAAACATCCTCACACGGTTCACTAAAAAAAAAATGGAGCATGCCCTATGCTACTTCAAGTGCCGATCAGATAGCAAACATCTTACAAAAAAAAAATTGTCGAGAACTGCTTCAGCTCGCACGCATAAGCAGCAAAAACAGAGCATCCGTTGGTTAAACTGACGGCGTGAACCCCCAATATTTCTCAATCGGAGGCGAAATGAACACCGCACTGCCCTCAGATCCCCACTTTGCGCTCCCCAATTCCAAATCGCAACCCAACGCAGTTACGCAGATCACGAGGCTAGCCTCCCGAACCCAGAACCCCCCAAAACCAAGTAGTTCCAGATCTGAGCCGCTCACCGAGACCGCGAGGAAGTAGACGAGCTTGAAGGAGAACTTGCGGAGCTCGCGGAAGAGGAGGTAGCAGAGCACGATGAAGGAAGAGCCCGCGAGCGAAAGCGCGGCGGCGGAGGTGCCGACGGCGTCGAGGACGTCGCGGTCCCTCAGCGCCTGGCTCACCGCCGCCGCAGCCGCCGCCGATGCCGCCATCGCCGTCGCCGGCGAGCGAGCGATCTCCGCGTCGACGAGGAGGTGGGGGGAAGGAAGGAATGGCGCAGTGGAACGGCCGGTCGGTGGTTTGGTCGTTGGGTTGGGTTTGGGTTTTGGACCGGATTTGCCTGCCTTCGTAGCGAAGGCTGTGGTTTACTTGGTCTGTCTGGTGGTTAGTCTAATGGGCCGAGCCAGCGTACAGACGTATTGCTTTTTGGGCCTTCTGTGTGTATGGGCCCATCCATGGATGAACTCGGTATAAGTCTGCCTTTGGTAGCTCCAGTTGAGAACTTTTCCTTAACACCAAAATGGAGTGACTCATTAGCACATAACTAATTAAGTATTAGATAAAATAAATTTAAAATTTACATTTATATGAATTTTTAAACAACTTTGATATAGAATTTTTTTTAAGAAAAACACACCATACATGTGTGCGAGAAACGAGATAGTATAAATTAGAAAAGGGGAGAAAAGAATGCAACCTAAGATTACTGATTTGGAAAAGGTTTTTTTCTTAATGAATTTTTATTACTGACACTGATGGGTCATGCTTAGATCGTATCTAGATTTTATTTAACCAAAAGGTTGGGATCATTTTTGTAAGATTTTTTAGAACGTGTATGCTCTATCGATTTCCTTTTTTATAGGATGTATGTATATTAGTTTGTGCTTCTAAAACTATAAATAAAGTATATACTCCCCTCCGTAAATAGTATATGATGCTTCTCTATAAAGTGGGTTAGTTTCAAAATAGAGTGAATTGTATATTGGGCTAGTTATTATGACTAAAGTTTCACTTTGGACTATGGCACATCCAACATTTTTAGTTTATACAAGAGTCTTTTACCTTGGGTTGCACATTAGACCACTCTATCCATTTTCACATTCCATGTTTCCACTCAGCCACTGCTTGCTTCTACATCAAGCTGCTGACTGTTGCCAATCGTCTCTAACTTTGGCACTGACATTGGGTCAAGCTAGCAGAGGAGCACAACACCACTAGCCTAAGGTATTGAGAGCCGCGGGGAATGGCGTTGAAGAGAGGAGCTCTGTCTACGTTGCCCCTGAGCTTGAGCTCAAGCTCCATCTGTGGCCACCTTTGCTAGCTGCGTGCTTGAGCTTAACCTCCGCCTTCCATGCCCCATGCTCGAGCTCCACTTGCACCGTCGTGGCGCCTCAACAGCCCTGCTCCGTAGCTACTCTTTTTTCTTCCATGTATTGTGCTCATTGCTCTTGCAACAGTAGAGGCAGCATGATCTGATCTAGTGCTTGATCTAGTCATAAGCTCCTAATCTAGATGCTCAAGCTCAAGGGAAACAACAGATGGACAGCTAGACTGCTATAGGCAAACTGGAAAGAGAAGTGGAGGGAGCGATAGTGGGGATAGGGATGGACTGGTCTTGAGGAGGAAGAGAGAAGGGGAAGAGGGAGAGACACACATGGTCTGGCTGACATGTGGGCCTCTTGTCCAAATTGCATGCTCAAGTAACTATAGTTGGTTGAAAGTGAAAATGTTTGATAACACCTAGTTCATTGTGAAACATGGGTAAGAAAACATAGTTCAAGATGCAATTCACTCTTTAAAATATCATGATTTTGTTTTCTTGAACATGGTCAAAGTCGCGATTTCCTTTACTACACCGCTCGTTCTCGATGGCAAAATACTACATTTTTTAGGTTTGATCCAAGGACTAAAATACTACTAGTGCTGTATACATAAGGATTAAGGGGTGAATATGCAACGACTGTGACTGTGAGGCGTGTACTTCAACAGACAGATTTCACACAATTTTGTACAGATACAGTGTCCAAATTTATATGCACCCATGTGAGCCATAACCTTATGGCCTAGTTAATTTAATTAACTTGTGGGCTACCAGTACAGCAGTAATATTTTTCTTAGCTCGGATGCATTATCGAGTTTAATGCATCCAAAAAATAATAATTCCATTAGTCAAACGGCCCTTCGATCGCACCTTATGCTACATTCCTTGATCGAATTAATCATAACCTCCCTTGCTGATTATATACGCTTTGCTTTAATTTGTTTTGGAAGATACTATTTGTTTCTTCACAGAGATCAATTATATAGAGTATGTACTCTCTACGTACTAAAATATAACAACTTTTAACACTTTGAATTTTTCTCAAAATATAATAATGTTTTCATCAATATTTCCTTATCAATCAATCACAACATCTTTCTATTTAGTTTATCTAATTTTTGTATAATATTATCCAATTGTAAAACTTTTTTATATTCTAAAACGGAGAAAGCGGTAACTAACCAATACGTCACATTTAATTTTTGATCGAGATCTAACCGCTCGTCGTTGAGGTCAACGTAGCACACCGGCTAACTTTTCCGGCCTCCATAAGACAACACATCAGCATGTACCAGTACCCCTCCAGAAAAAGAAAAGACCATTCTCGAGATGACCTGATACTTAACTGCTACTACATCATCGTCACCGATCAGTCGTTTGGACTTATTGAAGAATAGTTAAGTTAATTCATCTAGTGATTAAATTAGCTTGACACCCAGAAAAGGTCACAGAAAAGGAGTATAATTAGAACACTCTGCAAGCAAGCTAGCTAAGCTGGCTTAGCTTAGCTTCTTCTCTTGGTAAGAAGAAAAGCGAGAGAGATTAGAGATCAAGCTGAGCTAGCTAGTGAGGTATATAGGAGAAAGCCAAGAAATGGTGGACGACGTGGTCCAGGTCGCCAGGCGAGCCATTCTGTTCCGGATGCCGAGGAGGAGGGCGGCTTCGGCGTCGGCGTCGGCGTCGGCGTCGGCGTCGACGGCGACGGCGACGGCGACGGCGACGGCTGGGCGGATGAGGAGGAAGAAGGTGGCGGTGGTGAGGCTCGGCGGCGGCGGAGGAGGAGGAGGAGGGACGAAGAGGAGGCTGTTTGGGGCGCTGCGGCGGCTGCGGGTGCGGTGGCTGGCGGCGATGTACCGGCGCGCGCTGCGGCGGCTGCGGGTGTGCTACGCCAACGCCGTCCGCGACCTCATCGACGGCGCCGCGCTCGCCGGCGCCCTGCGCGCGCCCGTCGGCATCGAGTACTCCCACGCCGCCGCGTTCGGCCCCGCCGCCACCGTCGGGTTCTGAGACCGAGACGTACGGACGGCGCGCGGACATCCGTCCGCCGGTGACCGCCGCCGCACACCGTGGCCGTGTCGGTGCGAGCATAGGAGCTCAGTGAGCCTCTGTGCCCTGTGTTTGTGTGCGTGCATAGCATGTTTAACCCACATGGAAATCATGGCGTCTTTTTTATGTGAATTCTGTCTTTGTTTGAATCGTATTTTGTACAGACTTTCCTCGTTTTGGACGTAGTAATAAGTAGTAAATCTTGTCACAAATTAGCTGTTGATGGTTTGATCGTTGCAAATTGCAATTATGCAGGATGATTTTATCTTTAGTTTTTTTTAGGCTCTTGTTTGCAATAAGAACAGGAGATTCTTTTTTTTTAGAGATGAAGAACAAGACATATTTAAGTCTGAATCATTATCTAAAGAAATGTTTTAAGTGTGGATACTGAACAAAACTGTGTTTATGCTATGCAAAATACATTTATGCATTAGACCACATTACAAAATCAAACTTGTTTAAAAACAAGTTTGATTTTTGTAATATGGGCCTAATATATGAGCCTCTAACTCTGCGATTTTTTTTAGTTTTTAATTTTATTTATTAAAATATTTAAAAAATAATTTTCGTTTTGAAAATATTGCAAAACTAGTCGCCCATCGCTTAAAGGCGACTAGTTTTGTAAATTTTTCAAATAGAAAACTATTTTTTTAAATATTTTAATAAAAAATTAAAAATTAAAAAAATTCCTAAGTCTGCAACCTCACAGCCCAATACATTACTGGGCCCAAGGCCCAAATCTTCTAGTAACCAAAGTCCAAAGGCTATTCTGAACCGAAGTCCTCCCACACCAAAACTTCGAGGCCCCCGTCGCGGCACCCTCCTCCGCCGCCGGATCTCCACCGGAGTACGGCGCCGGCCACCCCCTCCTCCCCCGGATCTTCACCGCCGGTGAGTCCCCCGCTCCTTCCCATAATCTCTCGGTGAGTCTCCGCCTCTTCCCGTCCTCCTCCTTGCTCCCCCGCGCCCCGCCTCCTCAAGCGCACGGCCGGCGAACACCCAGAGGCGCTGTGTGCGGCCGGCCTCCTATCGTTGTCCCACCCCCAACGTAGCCTTCTCTTCTCCCCACTGCCGGATCCTCGCTTGCGCGGCCGGGGAGCAGCGTTGGAGCCAGGGGTGCGACCTTCCTCCATCTTGGTTCGAATGGTAGCGTTTGTTTCCTAGAGGAATTGGGGGGCTCAGCTGAGAACCATGGCCGGCGTTAGTTTCTGGCCATCTTAGCACAATGACACTACGGAGTATTAATTTGTACTAGGTGAGGTTATTTCCACCTCCAATCTGAGTTTAGTTTTAGTTAGACCGCTACATCAATCCAAGCTTGCAAGGTAGGAACAGAAACTAGTGACCAGTTTGCTAATGTATTTATCATGATGCAATTACCTTTGTTTTTGAACTAATCTTTAGCTTAGATATGGAATCCGTGAATGAAATGGCATTTCCCCTTTCTGTTTCACTTTCATTTCATTCCAGAAATTCATTGTGAATAGAGTTTTCGTATAGCAGCATAAAGATCTTCTGAATTCATGTAATTCTAATGTAGTGGAGCGGTACAGGTGAAGTACTGAGGTGATGACTACATCAGAGTCAGTACAAGAAACCTTGGGATTGGATTTCCCTCATCCTAGCAAACCTCGGGTCCTCCTTGCTGCCTCTGGAAGCGTCGCTGCTATAAAATTTGAGAGCCTTTGCCGTAGCTTCTCGGAATGGGCAGAAGTCAGAGCCGTCGCCACCAAGGCTTCATTACATTTTATTGATAGAACGTCTCTGCCTAGCAATATTATTCTTTACACTGATGATGATGAATGGTCTACCTGGAAGAAGATAGGGGATGAAGTTTTGCACATTGAACTGCGAAAATGGGCAGATATCATGGTGATTGCGCCATTATCAGCTAATACCCTAGCTAAGGTATGTGATTTTCTTTTCTTTTTCTGGTGTGAACCATATATTTTTTATGTTGAATCCTGGATTTGTTTGACAATGTCAACTTGTTTTCGCTGCCTACAAAAAAGTGACACTGGATTAGTTTTGTTCAGATTGCTGGTGGTTTATGTGACAACCTCTTGACATGCATAGTGAGAGCATGGGACTACAGCAAACCACTCTTTGTTGCCCCAGCTATGAACACCTTCATGTGGAACAACCCGTTCACCAGTCGTCATCTTGAGACAATCAACCTGCTAGGTATATCTTTGGTCCCTCCCATTACCAAAAGGCTGGCCTGTGGTGATTATGGTAATGGTGCAATGGCTGAGCCTTCTGTGATCGATTCCACCGTCAGGCTTGCTTGCAAGAGACAGCCACTTAATACAAATAGTTCACCTGTGGTTCCTGCCGGCAGAAACCTCCCATCTAGCTGATGCGGCAACTATTCTGTTCAAGATTAAACTCTGGACCTAGTTTTCTATGGTAAAGAGTACTTCGTGTCACAAAATGAAATGTTAAGTGATGTCTATGTCGGCCAACATAGCACCTTTATTGGCCAGTTGTTGTACTACTATTAGTGATATGGTAGGACGTGGAGATTGGAGAAAGGCTATTGTCCCAGCACTTTAATGTTGCTTTTCCAAATTTCTTGTGACATAATGCTAAGGTGCTGATGAATATGTTCATGTTGTAGCACTATTTTTTTCTGCAAATGTTTGCAAAGACTCGTGATGGAATCAAAATGTAGCAGGTTGTTCTTTCATCCTTTTCTTTTTGTGCAGCATGCGTATATTGGAAGGTGAACTTGTCTGGTGTGCAAATGCTGCACTTTCCTGCTTGGATACGCAGCCGCTAAAGCTTGGACATGACGGCTTACCTGAATCCTTTGTTTCGATCTACGCTTCCCTCTCGTTGATGACTGGTGATTTGTCGCATGGATCACTTGAAGCTGGTGCAGGAACAAACTGAGAATGACATGTGGCAGGCAAGCCCTGTGAATGCAAAAAAGAAAATGGTGACTAAGCAAGAAGATAATGCCAAGTTCAGATAAGCATTTGGTAGGGGATTGCAACAAGCTGGGTGAAGGTGGCGTTTCAAGTTTAGTCATCATCTGCACCCCACAAGGATATGGTGAGGAATGGTTTACCGATCAATTGGAAAGATTATGACCGTTCAACATCGACTCTTTTGGATAATTCTGCCTATATGGTATGCATGATAAAGCTCAACTAGAGGAGTAACACAAAAAATGCCATGCATATATTTATCAATCAGCATGACTGAACTTGAAGTTGAACTGCATATGGTTGGCCATGGTGTATGTTGAAATAGTAACACAGTGGTGTTGAAGTTGAACTGCATGGTACATCTTGATCAGTTGATTCTGAACTGGTCTACGTTCTTTCCAGCCTAAAAAAATTGAAAGTATAACAAGAAAAACCATAAAATTCCCCTACGCTTGTCATCTTTAAGATCGTGAAAGCGCACTGCGTTGGCGCTTTCATGGCCTCAAACTAATAAACATGGCCGGTCACAACTTTTCTGAGATTATGTTGGGATTGAAAAAGGGGGTCAAATCACCATTTCTCTGTCTCGCGCAGCTAAAACGACTTGATTTGTTTCACTACACATGTGTTATATTAATTTATTTCGTTGAGGATGATTTGATTAAGACAAGTATATGCAAGGTCTAAGAAGCTCACACCGTAATTCCCCCATTGGTTTCAGCTCTCTGACCACACAAAAAGAAGCGGACCTTGGAAGAACTCAAGAGCAATTTGAATTGTAGAATCCATAGCAGTGTGAAGCGTCTGAGTGTCAACTTCAGGGGAATTTTTTTAAAAAAGCTATGTTTGAGTATTCTAAAGCTCAATCCACACAGAAAATTTTGTGTGTGTTATCAAGCGACGGCTAGTCGGTTGATAAAGCTACATTATTTGGCTGAACTTGGCTTTGCTGCAGAATATAATTCAAAATGCTTTGACTTTTAAAGTAAGTTTTTAGAATATATAATTAGAGATAGATTTTATTTAATTTCTTTCTTACTGACCTTGTAAAAAGAATGGGCAAAGGACATGATGAAGAAATATCTTAATTAATTCTAAAACCAAGTCTAGAAATTTAAAATCAGCTCAGCCAAGTGGGTTTATGTGTTTGAAACGGATGGTTAGATAATAACTTAGATGGACAGTTGCTTATAGAGACGAATAAAATATCTATTATATAATTAAAGGAATAGAAAAAGGAGCCTCCACGTTCGCTCTCATGGTCTAGAAATTCTCACATTAATCGAGGAAAAAGAAAAAGCAGAGTCCATATAGAAATACAATTTAGAAATAGTTAAAATTCGGAATTAAAAAATAAGGAATATTAGAAGAGGAGACTAGAGTCTATATAAAAATACAATTAGGAAATAACTGAAATTCGGTATTAAAAATAAGGAATATTAGAAGTAGAGTATAGAGTCCATATAAAAATACAATTAGGAAATAACTGAAATTCGGAATTAAAAATAAGGAATATTAGAAGTAGAGTATAGAGTCCATATAGAAATACAATTAGAAAATAATATAAATTTTAAATTAAAAATAAGGAATATTAGAAGTAGAGTATAGAATCCATATAGAAATATAATTAAGAAAAAAATATAAATTCGGAATTAAAAAATAAGGAATATTAGAAGTAGAGTATAGAGTCCATTAGGAATTTAAAACTTACTAAAATTTGGAATAAACATAATAAAATTAAAAGTAGAGTTTAGAGTCCGTATAAAAATACAATTTATAAATAACTAAAATTCGAAATTAAGAAAAACATAGGAAGAAAAGTTTAAGGTCAGTATAGGAATATAAATATAGGAATACAATTTAGAAGTAACTGAAATTCGAAATTAAAAATTAAAGAATATTGAAAGATGAGTTTAGAGTCCACATAGAAATACAATTAGAAATAATAAAAATTCAGAAATAAAAATAAATAATATTGGAAGAAGAGTATAGAGTCTATATAGAAATACAATTTACAGAAAATTCGGAATTTTAAAAAAAGAAATATTAAAAGACGAGTATAGAGTCCATATATGAATATATATAATTTACAAATAACTAAAATTTGATATTAAAAATAATTAATAACTAACACGTATATAAAATATAATATGAATATTACACATTAGTAGTTTTATAAAATTATTGCAAAATTTAAAATTATATTGTCATTTTAATATATTTGAATAATATAATGAGAAAACATATACGCTATTATATGAGAAAAAAATATAATGATACTAGCCGCGCAATCTGCTCGGGCCACCCTGCTAGTTATATATTATATAGCTAATATCTAAACAATGTTGATGTAAAAAACTTTTGAATAGCAAAGCAAGTGTAGCTCAACTGGTTAGATTTTTTGTCGTGAAGGCTGATTACCCGAGTTCAAATATTAGATGACATCGCCAGTGAGGTAAATATGGTGACTTTGTAAATATAAGATATGCCGACTCAGTCTTCACTCTTCAGATGTGCTTAGTTTTAATGTGCGTATATGCATTCATAAGAGGTGAGTGTGTGCGCATTTGTATGGGCACATGTATCTATACTATGTTGGAAAAGGAACTTTCGAATAAATCATAATTTTAGAAACATCTATGTATCTATACTTTTTTAAAAGCCCCAATAATAATGGTAAGTGGTGAATATGCCACCACCCACCACCACTTCAGGTGGGTGGACTTTTGTCTCTTTTTCAACCTCAAGTCATCAAACGAGGGAAAAGAAAGTTTTGAAGTCAGGTAAAAATGATGACAAATAATATAACCTAAATATTTATAATGAGAATAACTTTATTTTAATTTCTTAGGTTGTAAAGTGTACGGTTCAATGATGGTAATCCATGCATAATCTATCCACGATAATCTAAAAATATGGTTTAAACTTTATTTTAATTTCTTATGATGTAAAGTGTACGGTTCAGCCATGGTAATCCACGCATAATCTATGATAATCTAAAAATATGGTTTTCAACTCTATATCAGGTGCCTACACTCAACGAAAAGCACAGTATGAACGGATTTAACATCAGGCCGAGCTACTCCCTCCCCTCCGTCTCATAAAAATGAATTTCTGATTATATATATATAGACATAGCTTAGAAGTTGATTTTTTATGAAGTGGATGGAGTATACTAGGTGTGTTGGCTTGTCCCCTACCGTCAGTCATGCATGTGATCGATCGCAATGCTGCACCGCATCATGTACTAGACATCAAGCAATTAATCCGTGGCGATATATACAGATAACAACGGGGAGCAGGCAGAGCCTGCCTGTAGTTAAAACGAAGTCGATAGCAACCGCATTAGAGCACCCGCAATGGTAAAGTAAGGTGCTCTCTATAAAATATGTACATCTCAGCAATAGATTAGATTAATAGTAAATCACCTCAATAGTATGTCTACATGGGTATCTATAGCTCTCTCATCCATTGCCTCGTTTTTCTCTATAGACTATCTCTAAGTTAGTAGATAGTTTTACTCTCTCTCTTCATTTAATCTCTTCCAAGTAGGAAAATATGATGACATGGATCTCTTGTAGAGAGCATATAGATAACCATTGCGGGTGCTCTTAGAGCAAGTTTAATAGTATAGCTAACTACTAGCTCCAATTTATCTATAGCCAATCTAATAATTTATTCATACAATAGTTGCATACTATACTATTAATACCTGGTCCTACTTGTCATACACACGCTGTGTCTTGAAGTCCGTGCTATAATTAGCTACAAATCTGTTTGTAGCTGATTTATAGCCTGCTATTGTACCTGCTCTTATAAGGACAGGCTAGTCGTGCATGAGGTACCCTGGTCTCCTGTACTCGGCGTACTATGCTAGTCTACTGTATAGATACTGTAGCTATCAGTACTTGATTAGTACCACTGTACCAGTAGCAATTGCTTTCCGTTTGATCGATCACTACACAGGTCATGTCACGACGGGTCACGGTTAATTACTGTATAATCTATGGTGGGCCGATTCGGAGATCACGATTTTGAAAAGGCAGATCGCATTTGCTTATCGTCGTCACGTCGTTCTCGGTTCTTACGACCTCTCACGGTCCTTAATTTGCAAGTTGGAATGCACGGTAGTCGGTAGTGTCCCAGATAGACATAACGAATGTTCGAGCAAGGGCAAAGCAGAGTGATGATCCTAAATACGGAGTATTTTCTATGGGAAACCCACTATCATAAACCATCAGTATTTCAAATTGGAGAAAGAAAATCCATCATAAACATACCATCGGTATCGCTTAATACTGACGACTAGCATTTTCACGTCTTAATTACTGAGTTTGAAATCGAAAGTTCGATAATATGATACGGGTTACAATTATCATTCGTTCATGAAGGTAAGACTCCATTCTTAATGATTAATGGACCGCTTTTTATTTAATCGTCTATCGTACAAGTTTTATCTTTTAGAGTTTTTTTAGCGTTGCTTGTGTTTTGTTACTCCTTTTATGCTTTTATTGATCCGACATGAACCAGGGTATATATATGTTTCTATTTACAGTACAAACGTTTTGGTTCATTTGCTATATTATCTTTTCTAAGGCGAGAATTTCACATAATCTTTTTAGGGATTCTTTTTACATAAAATCAATTTAACCTTAGTAAGAATCGGAATATATATAGCTAAGGACATGTACAAAGTTAAAGTCAGATATGAGCTCTATATTATCTAGAGACTAGCACCCTACAATAGTTAGAGACAATATGGTCTTTAATCATAATGTATCAAAATATTTTTTTCTTACTCTTCTTTCCTTTCTTTCATCACCATGCAACAAAATTTGCTCTAATAAATGCTAAGAGTCGACTCTGAGCATTATCATGCATAACAACCATGCTCCTTTCTTTTTCTTCCATGTCATCAAATTTAATTGCATGGCAATAAAGATACCACTAATATAAACCGCTGTACATGTCCTAAGCTTGTGCACGGACACAATGACGCTATCCCACGGTACATTCATGCATGCATTTGCTTAGCCAGGTAAAAATTAACGTACAGGTACGTTCCGATGTAGGTGGATCACTTGGTCGATCTCCACCAACTTTTAGCATACGTCAACCGGCGATGAGGCGATCGATCGATCGGATCCCAGCCGGATCGTCGATCGATCTCGTCATCGTCATGTGAGTATGTGACCCCGCCCGCTCTGTGTCCTCTTGCACGCGATACCTTCCAAACGTACAGCGAAACGCGCCGCTCCTACGGTGCGGTGGATCGATCGCTCAGTCGATTCGACGCGTCCGCGCGGTTGCAAAAAAACATTTTTTTAAGGATTTTGTGAAGTACGTGCAAGAGTACACATGGATGTACGCCCCACATTTGGTCCATACATCTAGAGAACTCTGGATGGCCTATTGTTAATTCCATTGAACACGCATACTTTCTCCATCCTATAAAAAACTCAACCTGACACCTTCTACTACAATATATCTGGACTATCCTTTATCGAGATTTGTTGTACTAGGAGATGGTACATCCCCTCGCTTCTAGGTAGGGCTGTTAAAAAAGCTCGGAGCTCGCAAGCTGCTCGAGCTTGATTCGAGCTCGGCTCGAATACTAAACAAACCAAGCTCAAGCCTAGACTGAGACTCGCAAGCCTAGCAAGCTCGAGCTCGAATAGCTCGACAGGGTTTGATTAGCGTAAGATGCATTGCATGTATGAATATATTTTTGATGGGTCAATGTATATTTGTCATCGTGCATGACCTGCTCAAGTTTCAAGATCTCATTAATGCTTCTCAATAAAGCAATTATCCGGTTGCTAATAATAGTACTACTATTCCTATTAGATGTAGCAGCTAGCTTTTGTTAATTGCAACGTTTCAAAGCCATGAATTCATGAGAAAAGCTGCAGAGGCTTCATTAAAGACAAGTAGCACCCATTATTTTTTACTACTGATAATTTGCATTAATATCTCTTATACAAGAGTAAGTTCTTTGGAGTTTCACCAAGTCAAGCTGTCAAGCTCGAGTAGGCTCGAAGTTTGCTGGAGCTCGAACTCGAGCTCACTCCCAAGCTCGATCAATATCCAGGCTCGGCTTGAGTTCATGTCAAGCTCAAGCCTACATAGCCAAACTCGCTCGAGCTCGGCTCATTGACAGCCCTACTCCTAGGTTAAGTTTTTTTTCGACAGAGAGAGTATACACATAGCTGTACGAATTGACTGTATTGGTTCCTTTTCTACGTGATGGTTAAATATATAAATTTCTATAGAGAATGGTTATATTTCATTAAACAGTAAAATTACGACCGATCTCTGCATCAAGATGCACATAGCCTTAAAGAAAATAAAAAGATAACAAGAACAGATCATGTTGCCTCTTAAGAGCTCACTATTGTAGCCTAAAAAGGAAAAAAACAAGAATAAAATATTTGTAATAATTATTCGAGAATATAAATACTCCATAAATAAATTAACTTTTATAAAGCTAAAAGCAGTTTTAAAATAGTAATATCTCATAAACTCATATATATATATATATATATATATAATACTCTTACAAAATCACGTAGTTTTGATTAGTATACCTCGGGATTCATTTCCGTAAGTCCATTTATATATCCATTCCTCGAAATTCCTTGCAAAAATGAGAACAAACGTCAGAGTCTCACCACAAGCTTATACGAAACTACGATATCACCTCACCTGAATTACCGTATATGATCTGGTCTATCATTGAATATATTTCGTGTATGTTTTGTTTGTTCGTTCTCTCTCTCTCTCTCTGTATATATATATATATATATATATATATATATATATATATATATATATATATATATATATATATATATATATGCGCACGCGCAATGTACGTGCATTGCTCAATCACATGGTTAGTACCAGGGTTTTCCAAACCGCCGGGGCGTGGTAACCCCGGCCCCGGCGGTAAGGACGGTTACCGTGAAAAACCGTGCAAAATTTATCAAAAAATTCAAATTATTTTTAAAAATTATTTGAATTTAAGGAGGTTACCGTGGTATTTATATTATCGTACCCCGCGGTAAGCCCGGTAACCGCGCGTTTACCGATGGTAATATTAACCCTGGTTAGTACTGGTATTCCTGCTCCCTCAGTAAAAAAAAATGAATCTAGAAATATGTCATGTAGTATAACAAATTTGAGTTTTTTTTTTACGGATGAGTACGTACTAACGTGTAGTAGGATGAATCATGACCAATCTGTCCGTGTCACATGGCTGGACTGTCCGGGGCGTCCCTGCATGCACGGACTGATCATCTGGTGGTTGTTTTTTTTTTTTTTTGGGTCACCACTCGAACACCAGTATGTGACGATCGTCTTTTCTCTCTCTTTCTTCACAGGATCCTATCAATGTACGTCGTCTTAATGCATCATGGCTTTATCACAGGATGCTCTCCATTTCTTTTCCCATGGATATGCGATTCTTTTCTGTTCTTTCGGTGAGTACGTGCCATGTTTCATGTACATTTGCTCACAGGTTTTCTGCATCAATGATAAGCACCGTGCAGCACATGACCTAGGCCACTTTGTTTCTATGGTAAGCGGGAAGGATTAATGCATGTAATGTATAGAGATGGGACTCGTTTTTTTATTTATCTTTTTTTTGCCTTTATATATGTAGTCCAAATGTAGTTCAATCTTTATATATAGATTGAACTTTCATATTAAATCTGTTCGAAAGAGTTAGCTACTGCAGCGCTGCCTGCTGCGAGCCTGCGACAGACAACAGTAGCTCAGCGGATAAATCAGTAGCTACAACAGATGAATGGCTAGGATGTAGTCTAGACCTGTAGCCGAGTAGCCGAGTGGCTGCGCTATCCCGTGTAGCCTGAACAGCTACATAACAAAATTACCGAATAACCTCATTGTATTTGGTGTGATCTTTATGGGTAGTTGAGATTAACTTTGTAAAACAATTAAGGTATAGAACCGGACGATAGCTTATGTTTGGTGGCAAGATAATAATGTAGGTTGCTTTGATACTCCTATGTCATTCAATTTTCTAGAGTGGGCACAAAACCTTTTTCCTTGTTTGGTTGAGATGCGTTTCATTATGAATCTTATGGTTGTAGGCATCTACATAAAAAAAAAGAGCAATCGCGACAAATCATTTTTATCAATTGAAACAAAAAAAAACGATAAATAGCGCACACGAAAATGACGAGAGGGCCCAACGACAACGACACGGTATCCGAACTTGCACCAATTCCACCTAGCAGGAGCTCAGAGAAAGAGTAGTCGACTAGTCAAGTGGTGGTGGCGCGGCGGCCGCCACTCCCTCCCCTCCTCTCTTCCTCGGTGCCGTCGCCAGCTGTCAAGGTCCACACATTAAAAAGGGTGGGGACCCTTCCAGCTCATCAGCCCCCTGACGTGGGCCTCCCTTTCGCGTCCCCGTCCCTCTTCCACTCTCCAACTCTCACCGCCACATACACCACTCGTACTCACTGACATGTGGGCCCTCCAAGGGATGGCCCCACGTGTCCGCGTCTAAGGGGGAGGAACCCCGACCGTTTCGTGGTGGGCCCCACCCGCTCCACGCCGTTTTGCGGATAAATACCACATGGAGACCACACGTTTCGGTGGAGAGGAAGCAGTGAAAGATTAGCGGCGGTGCAAGAGAAGAGGAGAGAGCGAGACGTCGCCTGCGATGACACCGGCCTCACCCGCCGCCGACACCGTCATCGCCGCCGCAGCCGCAGCCGTAGCCACCGTCCGGAGCGAGGAGGGAGAGCGCCACACGGCGCCGAGCGCCGCCACCGTCCCCGCCTACGCCGTCTGGGAGAAGGAGCGGTAAGGAGAGAGGAGTAGCCGTCGTCGTCGTCGTCGACATGGAGGTGGAGGCAGCCAGGTGCGAGTGCTGCGGCTTCACGGAGGAGTGCACGCCGCGGTACATCGCGGCGGTGCGGGAGGAGTACATGGGGCGGTGGGTGTGCGGCCTCTGCGCGGAGGCCGTGGGCGACGAGATCCGCCGCGCCGGCGCCGGGAAGGCCACCATCACCACGGCGGAGGCGCTCGACCGGCACGTTGCGTTCGCGCGCTCCGCCGCGCCGCGCGCGGGGGGCGCCGCGGCGGAGGACGACCTCGTCGCCGCCGTCTCGAGGCTGCTCCGCCGCTGCCTCGACTCGCCACCGGCGTCCCCGGCCGCGCCACCGCCGCCGCCGCAGGGGAGGAAGGTCGCCGCGGGGTCCGGATGCCCCGGCGGCGGAGACGACGACTGATTCATTGCTTGCTTTCCCGGCCGGCGGCGAAGCTTGCCACAATGATTGGGATGTTGAGCTCGTCAATGGCGAGTTTATTATTGAATCAATTAATAATAAATTAAGAATAAACTTGGGAGCATGTGTAGATTGGCTCTCAAAGAATAATAATAATATGTGATCTGATTGATGATTGCTCGAGAGAGGAGCATGATTAAGCTCCGTGTGATCGAGCATGAAGTTGTGTGTGTAGCATTGCAATTTGTAACTGTGTCCAGTTGTTTTGGACACCGTTCAATTGGATATTAATTGTGGCCACCTTGTAAATTAGTAGTAGTTGAAAACATTGTATTAGAGCTGTAAGTTTCGTTGTACCATGTTTGTACATGGGGTTTGTAATGTTAGCTATTCAAAAATCCATGTTTATGTACTCTCTTCGCTTGTGCTATAATTCCTCTGAAATGAACTCATTGTGTGGGTAACTTAATTTGTTGTTCATTACTCCATCCATCTACTTTTGATAGTCATATTTCCAAATCTGAAAAATCTATTTTTGATAGGTATATTTCAATCCAATAATCTATCATCTTAATGATTTTCTCAGATTTAATGCATGACTCTCCATTCTTCCACACAAGATTGGTTGCATGGACATCGAGAAATGTAAATGTTAATGAATCGTTTGTTTACGAGGAATGACTAGTAGCATGTTTAAATGGATGATAAGTAGAATCACTTATCATTGGTCTGTGTGTTAAGATGAAATATGACTATCAAAAGTAGATGGAGGGAGTATAAGATAAGTGATTGCAATGACTTTGATGACGGCGTGGTGGAACATCTTGCTGGAGCGTAATAGGAGGATTTCCAGCAAAATAATCAGGATGAGACTCATATTTCTTTTCCTGGTTTCACATAATCTTGGCTTGCTCGCGTTGGCTACTTACTATGACGATATTTCTTTTCAGGAAAACTACGACGATATTTAGAGCTTCTTTAGTGGCTCTGCTCTTGTAATCTCTAGTCGTTTTTGCCTCTCTTTTTTTCCCTTTGCTGTACGTTCGAACCTTGTATCTTTCACCCCTTCCTTAAATTAAATTAGGCAGAGCTCCTGCCGTTTTGTAAACAAAACACGACTAATCTCGTGCAAATTCAATTACTATTATAATTGTACTAAAAAAAGTCGCAAATGTTGCGCCAATTAGATTCTCCAACTAAAAAATGCCTTCTCAGACGGGTCAACTAATGATACCGTAAGAAAATCTTACGATCATTCTTCTTGCCGTTTGAGTACAAAGAACTCGATCGTAAATGAGGCCATTCAGTACCGGTAGCTGCAATATTTTGGGCTGGAGTTACAAATCAAGCCCAGCCGTTTGAAACTTCAATTGCAACCCATCTGAAGTGTGATTATGTGATTCATGGTTGGCTGCTGCCTTCCTGCTGGCTTGCTATATAGCCATATGTTGTTATTGCCAGCGAACATCCTTATTAATATGATTAGCATTAACCCCAAATGTTGCATACAAGTATATACAACCGCGAGAAAAAATAGAGTTGTGTGTAATAAGTAAGCAAATCACTTGTGTGTAACAAACTTTACATTTATTCATGTAAACAAACATAGGTTAATTATTGAGAAAAAAAAAGGCCAGGGACACAATAGTTGAGTGTACAATGTCTAATAAAGGATAAAGATAGATTGGTTGTTGGACAAGTTCAGATAAGGGAGGTGAAATTATTGGTGTAGGCATCCAATATTCTTCCCCATATTTAACAACTTTATTTGATCTGGCGACCTCTTGTTTGTTTACCTTTTCAATCCACACTCCAACTCCAGGATGACATTTTCCGTACTCCCAATTGCGAAGGGGCAAGTCATCAGATTATCTAACTAGCATAAAAACAGTACTAATACTTTTTTGCTGTTTCTTTTAAATGCCGTAGTAGCTAGTGGCCCGTTCAAATTGTGAAAAGCCTTTCACACGAAACACACTCTTTCACCGTTTAACAAATTAAAAAGCCTAGCAACAAAAATTGAGATAAAATCTATATCTTAATCAAGAATAAAAGAACAGGAAGGCTTTAGTTCCACGTTAAAATTAAAAGTTTGAAAAAATTGGAACGATGTAACGGAAAAGTTGAAAGTTTGTGTGTGTAGGAAAGTTCGATGTGACGAAAAAGTTGAAATTTTGAAGAAAAAAGTTAGAATCTAAACAAGGCCGAAGTAGCAAATAGAACCAAGCTAGCTTAGGCTTCATTCGAAGGTAGAGGTTAGGCCATCCCCAACTCTCCTTATCATTCAGTGTCCATAGCATTAAATATATTGTCACATATGGAAAAATCTGATGTGGTAAAAGAGTTAATGAGAAGAGAGATAAAAAGATAAATAAATCATTTCTCATGCAAGAAATCATCCCCATATAAAAACTAGAATGAAAACAAGATATGTAGATAAAAGGATAGAGAAGATAGATGATTTCTATTAGATATATACTACCTCCATCCCAATATAAGTGCAATTGTGGTTTTTCGTGTCCATAGTTTGCTCGTTTGTCTTATTTAAAAATTATGAAATAAATAAATAAAATTAGTCACACTCAAAGTACTATTCATGTTCTATTGTGTAATGAGAACAAAAATATTAATCATAATTCTTTTTCAAATAAGAAAGACGGTCAAACGTTGGATGCGGAAACGCACAGCTGCACTTTTTTAGGACGGATGAAGTAGTTTCTATACATAGTGTATATACGACATGTGTCGACAGGGGATATCCATAGATCGGATGAACAGGGTATTGGGGTATGTTGGTACGACATCAAGCAAACAAGAATACAAGAATTATACTGGTTCAAGTCCCTCGTAAGGTAATAGCCCTAATCCAGTTTATATGAGATTGATATGGAAAGACCACATATTGCAATAGAGAACCAGAACCAATGATTCTGAGATTACCGGCGAGATCCCTATCGAGATGGTTTCGACGAGATCTCCTGGCGAGTAGGCTTCACGTCCTTCGGATTGTAGGCTATGGTGGTTGTGTTGGTGTTATGATTCGATCCCCTAAACCGTGAATCACCTTAGTCTCCAAGTAAAAATCAGAGATTATAGGCCCCCGCACGATATAGTATAAACCTAATCCTTTCCAAGTAGGACTCTGTTGTTCACTTGCCCATGAGGCTAATTTCCATGATCTATTGTTAATTTTCTTAATGTATACGGAAATATATCGTACATACGAATGTATGCCGTATCCGTATATTCTATAAGTGGTAGGATAGGAGGTATGCCTTATCTGTAACCATGACAACATGACAAGTATGAAAACTAATATAGTTTTTGGGTTGGGATGATCTTAAGCTATATTCGGCAGCATTTGTTCCCAATTCCTCTCACTCGTGTTCCGTGCACACGTTTTTCAAACAACTAAACGATGTGTTTTTTTTAAAAGTTTCTATACGAAAGTTGCTAAAAAAACATATTGATCCATTTTTTTAAAAAATAGCTAATACTTAATTAATCATTCGCTAATGGACCACTCTGTTTTCTGTGTTCAGGAGATTTATTTCCAACACAGGCTGCCAAACACAGCTTTAGAAACTCCACCTCCCTACAAGCACAACGGAGTGATATATTAGTTGAAATAAGTTTAATAGTTTTTTTTAGAGGAATTTAAAAGTTGGATTAATATAATCTTTTAAAATAACTATTCTATAAAAAATACGTCATCTAATAATTTAGAGAGGGTTTAGATTAGGGGTGTAAAGTTTTGGCGTGTTACATAAGATAAAAAACTAATTACAGAATCCGTCAGTAAACCGCGACATGAATTTATTAAGCCTCGTTAATCCATCATCAACAAATGTTTACCGTAACATCATATTGTCAAATTATGGAATAATTAGGTTTAAAAGATTTGTCTCGCTAATTAGTCGCAATATGTATAATTAGTTATTTTTTAGCATATATTTAATATTTTATGTAGGTATTTAAATATTTAATGTGACACGGTGAAAAATTTTAAGGATGGGATATGTGACAGGCGAGAGTGTGTGCGCGAAAAATCGCCGAACGCACCCAAGCTATCATCATCAGCTGGTGTGGTCCAGCGCCGGAAGCAAAGCCGGAGCAGGCGAGCCAACTGAGCCAGTCAGGGACGGAGCCACCCATAGTTCGAGAGATTTCCTGGCACGCTCGCTCGCATCACCCGCCCGCATATTCCCCCCGCACCCCGCAGCGCCGCGCAACAACGCAACCAGCCAGCCAACCAACCCAAGCCAAGCCACCTCAGCCTCGCAGCGGCGCCCCCGATCCCGAGGCCGCCACCACCACCCACCCGCTTCTCCTCCACGCCACGGTGGGCCCCCACCCCCACCCCCCGCCCCGACGGGTCAAACTCCACCATCCCTCACCTATCCACCCCCACCCCCATCCGCACCAACCTCTCCCTCCTCCCTCCCCTCTCCTCGCCTCCGCCTCCGCCTCCGCCTCCCAAGAAGGCGAACCCTATTCCGCCCCCGATTCTCCCGGAGCGGGGGGCCGGACTCCCGTTGCGCGATTGGGCGGTGAAACCCGAATCCCCCTGCGGGCGGCGGCGTCCGTTTCTCATCTACCGTCGGCGTTGGGGGGGACGCCGCCCCATGGGCCGGTCGCCAGCGATATATCACTATCAGCTCATCGACCGGCGGAAAGGTAATTAATTAACACCCTCCCGGCCTTTTCTCCTCTCCAGATCTGGCGCTGGCTCCCCCCGGGTTCCGGGTAGATCTGGGGGTGTAGATCTCGCCCGGCGTTAGGATTTTTTTTTTTGTTCCGTTGATTGTCCGGGTTAGGGAAAACCCGGAAAAGGCGTGATTTTTTTTTGATTGAGGCATCTCGCCACCGGCCGGGGAGACGGGGAGGAGGGCGTGGGGTGTTTAGCGTGCGTGTGCTGGACGGAGAGGAAAAGCAAGGGGGTACTGTTTGCTCGTCTTTCCGTTGCTCTTTTGCCTCTTTTGATTGTACAATCTTCCCTTTTCTGTGTTAGAGATGGAGTTGCGTGGACTTTTGAGGATATCTTCTCTTTCCTTTCCAAAAAAACAGCAATAAGCTTCTGTTTCTTTTGTTATGGTTCCTTTCTTACTGATTTGATGGTTTCTATATACGTTTGGGTGAGAGAACAGCGTGTCGGTATGTGAGAACGAAGGACGGAAGGAGGAGATATTGAGCCTATTTAATTGATGAATTTATGGAGGAGATATTGAGATAATGTGTCAGAAAACTTGCTTCTTTTGCGACGGCAGCTATATGAGTTACTAAGAAGAGTCGCGCCAATTTTGTGGAAACTGGGAGCAAATCATTAGAAGTTCTCTTCTTTTTTTGGTTGACAGAGCTACTGATTTTGGGTCTTCTGTGAATGTGGAAATTTCTATTATCAGTATCAGTCGCATTGATTGTGGTATTTCTCCCTGGCAGTGAAAACAAACAAACAAAATATTTTATGAATCCTAACGGAAAGTAAACGGCTTGTAGATTTTTACTTTTTAAGAACTTGTATAACTGAATCCTTGTCCATTTGTCCAGCCTTATATATCCTATTGTGTTATCTTCAATCTTTGTATGATGCAGCGGCTTGCTGGCTTTAATTTATGGACATACTATGAAGTAATTAAATTGTTTTGTTCTAAATATTTATTGCCCTAATAGCAAGAACTAGCTGTTGTTCTTGTAGTTGGTTTATTTGTTTTTGGTATTTTATAATAGGGTTGAAATGAAATTTCCCACAACACTATCAATTTTATTGAGTCTGACAAAGATTACTAGCTCTAGTGAGCCTTACCTGTAGGTTAGCATATTGTCTTGCTTATTAACAAAAATACTAGTTTCTTTTTTTGAGTTGACAAATACTAGTTTATTAATATTATGGAAGTTATATTTTCTGTTAAATTACACCTATTTGTTCATATATAATCTTTTGGTAAAGGTTGACGTGATTGTGGTACATCAAGTGCTCAGCCATGTTCATGCTAATCCTTGTTGATATCTTTGCAGGGCTTGGATAAAATCTTATTGCAAATTTCCCCTTGTACATGTAACATCACATGTAATTTCTATTAAAAATGACTTCACTCAATAAAGTTGTTTCCAATGGAGATACAAGGTCAATGTTGCCAAATAAAGTCACAGCATTGAATCCCAACGCAGCAGAATTTGTACCTTCATGTATTAGACCATCTTTTGAGAGTAGCGCTGTCTCAGATGTAAGTAAGGCAGATCTTAGGGCTTCTGGGAAAACTATCCTAGATAGGTCCGAGTCATCAAAGTCAAATAACTCGGATGATGAGGCACACCAGTTTTGGCGTAAGCAGCTTCCTGATGACATTATTCCAGACTTCAGTTTTGAGAAAATTGAACAAGAACCTGAAGAATTGTCTCTTGCTGGATTATCCTTGAATGCACCCCCTTTCTATGGAACAACAGCTAGCCGCTTTTCAAGAGAGCATGATTTATCTTCTCAAGCTAACAAGAGCCTGGAACTGGGGCTTACCAGTTTACTTTATGAAGATAATTCACAAGCATCGTTTCCAACTATGGGTTCAAGCAATTGGGAGCAAAATTTTGTAGGGGATCTCCATTTTACGAATGGAAATCAGGGCCTTCATTATGATTCTGAAAGTGCTGCAGGCTTTTCTGACAGTTTTGCTAGCGATTATGCTGCAGCAACAGACGATGTTCTTGACCCCCTAGCGTATTTAGCTTCACAGTTTCCTGATTTTTCATCAGAGAGCCTTGCAGAGCTGTACTATGCTAATGGATGTGACTTCAACCATACTATTGAAATCCTCACCCAGCTAGAGGTAATCCCTTCTGTCAGTGAAACTGGCACGTAAATCAATGCTACTTCTTTACTTCATATCCACCCAAAATATTGCTCAAAATTGCTAGTCATATTGCATTTTTTTTGGTGAGCAAATTTCAGAAAACTGCAACTATAGTGACAACTATCAGTTTGCTGCAACATTAGTGATATATTTCAGTTTGTTGCAACAATAGCGTGGGAAATTATCACAAAACTGTAACTTTTACGTGATATGCTGCTACAGTTGTCACCTACATGTCCTGTAGCAGCATATCACGTAAAAGTTGCAGTTTTGTGATAATGTCCCACGCTATTGTTGCAGCAAACTGAAATAAATCACTAATGTTGCAGTAAACTGATAGTTTTGTCACTATAGTTGCAGTTTTCTGAAATTTACTCTTTTTTGGTAGAGCTCGTTAGGAACGCAGCAATAACTGGTTGCAGTTGCACTTGCATCCCATTGTCATGCTGACCATCTTGATCTTCTGCGGGCACTAGCATGTTTAACAGTTTTTACATTGTCTGTCTAGTGATATCATTTTTGTTTTTCAGATGCAAGTTGATGCTACCTCCAATCCAACTCTGACCCCCAGGACACCAAACTTTAGCACAGGGGACTTCCCCGCACTGCCAACAGTTGAAGACCAAAATGGTTTTTCCAAAGGCAATGCAGATATTCTAAGCATCTTCAATGGACGCAGCTCACCCTCTGTATCTACTGGTACTGGTGATTTTGTTTCAGCTGTTCGCAAACTTGCATCGCAAAATTCTGGCCATTGGAAGTATAAGAAAGGTCCTGAATACGGTAATGGTGTTTCAACTGTTTCTGTACCCAAGCAGTACAGTTCTACGACCAAAACATCTTCTGGAAACAAGTTTCAAAGTGTTAGCAGTGCAAGAGCTGCTCCATGGCTCGAAACTGGAGATGCAGTAGGTAATGCCCATCTTGATATACCAAGTCATTTGTGTGGATAGCGTGTTTCCCTCCTGTATGTTTGATGATTTATTCTGTTCCACAACTATAGACTGATCTCTTTATGTTTATATGCAAATCAATAGCAAACATGTACTCAGAATCAAGGGGAGAAGCCCGTGATTTTGCCCGCATCCGAAATGCATGTTTTGAGCAGGTAAGCATCATCCATTGTGGTCTCAGTTGCATCTCGTATGCATTTGCATCCATGGGTGTACGAGTGAAATGTGCCACATGCTTATACAACTTACCTGCACCAGTAGCCTTGTATTGTTTCTTGATAAAATATCTACTTCCATTTTGACCCTATAAATTTTGCCATTTATCATCCTGTATCAATTTGTTTGTGTGTACTATCGCCATGTAATATGCATTCCATCCATCCACTATTAAAAATTTAGCCTCTGGCATTTCGTTTATTAATAATTTTTTACACGGTTGTTGTATCATCAAATATTGATGTTTACATGCTACTCTTAGTATAACCTCTTCAATTCCTTTTATTACTTATATTTTGAGTATGAAAATTGGTTTGTGCCTATTATCATGTCCACCACATCACTGACGTTCATTTAGCTGACCTCATTTGCTGTATCTTTTGCTTATGAGTGAATTGAAATTATAATACAATATGTAACTTGTTTACATCTTTTAGCTGAAGTATTTACATAAAGATCTACTTGACAGGCTAGACAGGCTTACCTGATTGGCAACAAAGCTCTAGCCAAGGAATTGAGTATGAAGGGACAGACATATAACACACAAATGAAAGCATCTCATGAGAAAGCAAGAGAAGCTATTTATCGACAGAGGTCGCCTAACTGGTTCCCTGTTCTTTCTGCGCTGGATGGAAAATCCTTTTCATGCCAATTTATACTTTGTCCACCCGATTGACAAGCTGCGCCTTGTACTGTTCCTAATATTTACAAGTACACTTAACATATCATATGTTTTTGTTGCAATGTTCCTCAGGAACCCATCTTCGCAACGAGGGAGCGACCGTCTGATCGATCTACATGGTCTCCATGTGAACGAAGCAATCCATATACTTAAGGTCGAGCTCGGTACTCTTAAGAGCACCGCGAGGGCTACAGGTGAGAGGATGCAAGTCATGATATGTGTCGGGACAGGTCATCACACCAAGGGTTCTCGCACCGCCAGGCTGCCCATCGCCGTCGAGCAGTTTCTTCTGGAGGAAGGCCTCCACTACACGCAGGCACAACCTGGTTTGCTCCGTGTTGTGGTGTTCTAACATCTCTTAGGTCAGCAGCACGAAGAAAAAAGAAGCAAAACAAAAAAAGGAGAAAGAGATGTAGGGAAAAGAAAAACCTAAAAAAAATGGCCGCTGTTGCAGCACTGTAATTTTCTTGTAGTTGTATATTAAAAGAGGCAGCAGGAGAATAGCCTGACAACAGAATACAGTGTAAAATTATACATAGCTTCATTCAATTCACATTCCATTCCCATCCGGTTGTTCTTGCATGTTCTTGACGTTTTCTTTTGAGGTACTCGAAGGTTGTTTGGGATGCATATGCGATTTAGTATTTGCCATTTCTTGCTGATGATTGATGATGAACATTTCTAATAGAACGAGTTAGACCATGTTTTGAATTTCTGAAAATTCTCCTGGTTACTGTGGTTGTTGCTGGAACGGAAACTGATCAAGGGCCTGTTCACTTTGATGTTAAAAAAAACCTTACCAAATTTTGGCATTGCTAAAATTGCTAAAATTTTGGTATAGTTACCAAACTTTTGACAGGATTTTTTATATACTTTATCCGTTTCACAATGTAAGTTATTCTAATATTTTTTACATTCGTATTAATGTTAATGAATCTAAATAGATATATATGTCTAGATTCATTAACATCAATTTTAATGTGGGAAATGCTAGAATAACTTACATTGTAAAACGGAGGGAGTAGTTATCAAAATTTAGTAGCAAACTAAATGTAACCACTTTTTTTTGACATCAAAGTAAACAGGCCCGAAGTTTAGCTATCCAAATATGCCCCAAACGTTCAAATCCAAACGAAATATGTTGAAAAATTGAAATTATGTCGGCCTGTCAGAGGCTCTTTCATCGCTTCTGAAACACTGAAACTGCAGCTACGAAATTTGAGACAGATTTTTCAGGAGCAGGGAGACGCGCGAGGAAAAATATCTTGCGCTCGATTAGTGATTACCCGCTCAAACTCCCGCAACGTTATCATCTCCACTCTTCCACCTCCATGCCCATGCGCGACTGATCCGCCGCCCAACGCGATGCCTCTCATGGCCGTCGCCTCCCAACCCTTCCTCTCCACCTCCACCTCCACCTCCTCGCGCCATATCCGCCGCGCCACCGTCGCCACGGCCGCGGCCGCGGCGCCGGATGATTTCGACTACCCCCTCGCCGACCCCTCCGTCCGCTGGCCACACCTCCGCTTCCCCCACCTCCCCTCGCCTCGCTTCCCCGCCGCGCCCGTGGCGAGGCCCTCGGAGGGAGGAGAGGAGGAGGAGGCGGCGGCGGGGCCCTCGTCGGCCGCCGCCTCCGCCGCCGCCCTCGAGCCGCTCGACGCGCGGGCGCACCGCGGGAGGGTGAAGAAGCTCAGCAAGCTCGCGCTGCGGCGGGCGCGGGACTGGCGCGCGCGCGTCGCGGGCCTCGCGGACCGCGTCCTGGCGCTGGCCCCCGGCGCGCCCGTCGGGGACGTGCTCGACGGCGCGCGCCCCGCGCCGGACGAGCTCGCGTTCGTCGTGCGCGCGGTGGGGGTGGCGTCCTGGCGGCGCGCGCTCGACGCCTTCGAGTGGCTCGTCGCGAGCGGCGGCGGGCGTGCCCCGGGCCCCCGCGTCGTCGCCGTCGTCCTCGGCGTCCTCGGGCGCGCCCGCCAGGACGCGCTCGCGGAGGATGTCTTCCTCCGGTTCGCCCGCGAGGGTGCCACCGTGCAGGTGTTCAATGCCATGATGGGCGTCTACGCTCGTTCTGGCCGCTTCGACGACGCGCGCCAGCTGCTTGACGCAATGCGTGACCAGGACATCGAGCCTGACCTCGTTAGCTTCAATACCCTTATCAATGCCAGGGCCAAGTCTGGGTGTTTGGCCGCTGGTGTCGCTCTTGAGCTCCTACATGAAGTCCGGCAAGCTGGGCTGAGACCGGATGCTATCACTTACAACACCCTCATCAGTGCTTGCTCACAAGGTTCTAATTTGGATGATGCAGTGGCGGTGTTTGAGGAGATGATAGCTTCAGAGTGTCGGCCAGATTTGTGGACGTACAATGCCATGGTCTCCGTGCATGGCCGGTGCGGGAAGGCACAGGAGGCTGAGCTGATGTTTAAGGAGCTGGTTGAGAAGGGTTTTCAGCCGGATGCAGTCACATACAACTCGCTCCTTTATGCTTTCGCGAAGGAAGGCGATGTGGAGAGGGTGGAGCGTGTGTGTGAGGAATTGGTTAAGGCTGGTTTCAGGAAGGATGGGATTACTTATAATACCATGATTCATATGTATGGAAAGATGGGCAGGCTTGACTTGGCGCTTGGGTTGTATGATGAGATGAGGGCTATAGGCTGCACTCCAGATGCTGTGACCTATACTGTTTTGGTTGATTCTTTAGGGAAGATGGATAGGATTTCTGAGGCAGGGAAGGTGCTGGAGGAGATGGCTGATGCAGGATTAAAGCCAACTTTGGTAACTTTCAGTGCTTTGATATGTGCATACGCCAAAAGTGGGAGGCAGGATGATGCGGAGCGTACATTTGATCGTATGGTTGAGTCAGGTGTCAAACCTGATCGTTTAGCCTATTTGGTTATGTTAGATGTTTTTGCAAGGTCTGATGAGACTAGAAAGCTGATGGTTCTGTACCGGGCTATGATCAAGGATGGATATAAGCCAGATGATGGTTTATATCAGGTCTTGCTTGCTGCACTCGCAAAGGGAAATGAACACGATGAGATTGAAGGAGTTATCCAAGACATGGAGGCCGTTTTTGAAATGAATCCACTAGTAATATCCAGTATACTCATCAAGGCTGAATGCATTTCTCAGGGTGCTAGTCTGTTAAAGAGGGCATGCCTCCAAGGATATGAGCCTGACGGTAAGAGCCTACTGTCCATTTTAGACGCATATGAAAAAATGGGTAAGCATGAAAAAGGTCTCTCTTTGCTTGAATGGATCCGGCAGCATGTTCCCAACTCCCACAACTTAATATCTGAATGCTCGATCATGCTTTTGTGCAAAAATGGGAAGATTGTTGATGCCATTCAGGAGTACAGTAGAAAACAAATGTTAAAACGTGGATCCTTTGGTCAAGACTGCGACTTGTATGAGTACTTGATTACTTACCTTGAGGAGGCTGAGTTATTTCCCGAAGCTTGTCAAGTGTTCTGCGATATGCAGTTTCTTGGCATAGTTCCTTCCCAAAAGATATACCAGAGTATAATTTACACATGCTGCAGATTGGGTTTCCCAGAAACGGCTTATCAATTGATGGATGATGCTGCGCGATCTGATATTTCCTTGAACATTCTTTCATGCAGAGTAGCAATGATTGAAGCGTATGGTAAGTTAAAACTCTGGCAGCAGGCAGAAAATTTTGTGAAAGGATTGAAGCAGGAGTCTGGTGTTGATAGAAGGATTTGGAATGCTTTAATACATGCATATGCTGAGAGTGGCCTTTATGAGCATGCAAGGGCAATCTTTGACATTATGATTAAAAAGGGTCCTCTACCAACTGTTGAATCAGTTAATGGAATGATGAGAGCATTGATTGTTGATGGCAGGCTGGATGAGTTGTATGTGGTTGTTCAGGAGCTTCAAGATTTAGACATCAAGATCAGCAAAAGCACAGTACTCCTTATGCTTGAAGCTTTTGCAAAAGCTGGGGATGTATTCGAGGTAATGAAAATATATAATGGGATGAAGGCAGCAGGATACTTGCCAAATATGCACCTCTACAGAATTATGATCTCCTTGCTCTGCCATAATAAACGATTCAGAGATGTCGAATTGATGGTTGCAGAGATGGAGGGAGCAGGATTCAAACCAGATCTCGTGGTACTTAATACCCTTCTTTTAATGTATACTGGGACAGGAAACTTTGACAGGACAATAGAAGTATATCATAGTATTCTGGAAGCTGGATTAGAGCCTGATGAGGATACATATAATACTCTTATAGTCATGTACAGTAGAAACTTTAGGCCTGAAGAAGGTTTTACTCTCTTGTATGAAATGGGTAAACGGGGTTTGACACCCAAGTTAGAATCCTACAAAATCTTGCTTGCTGCATCTGGAAAAGCTAAACTCTGGGAGCAAGCTGACCTGCTTTTTGAAGAAATGAGAACAAAGGGATATCGGTTAAATAGATCTATCTACCACATGATGATGAAAATATATAGGAATGCCCGCAACCATTCCAAAGCCGAGCACTTACTATCAGCAATGAAAGAGGATGGGATTGAACCAACCATCGCTACTATGCATATCCTCATGACTTCTTATGGGACTTCTGGGCACCCAGACGAAGCTGAGAAAGTCCTGAACAGCTTGAAATCTTCTAATTTGGAAATTAGCACTTTACCATACAGTACTGTTCTCGATGCTTACTTGAGAAATCGTGACTACAGTCTTGGAATCACAAAGCTTTTAGAAATGAAAAGAGATGGTGTAGAACCAGATCATCAAGTCTGGACAAGTTTCATCAGGGCTGCTAGTTTGTGCGAGCAGACTGATGATGCCATTCTTCTTCTAAAGTCTTTGCAGGATTGTGGATTTGACCTTCCCATTAGGTTGATATTGTACTTGATTATGTTCATAATGTTCCGTATTTTTTTTCTTCATCAGTGATTAAATCTTACACCTTCTGCAGGCTCCTTACTGAGAGGACTTCGTCTCTGTTTACTGAGGTTGACAGCTTTCTAGAAAAACTTGGGACACTAGAAGATTCTGCTTCATTGAACTTTGTAAATGCACTGGAAGACCTGTTATGGGCATTTGAACGTCGAGCAACCGCTTCATGGATTTTCCAATTGGCTGTAAAAAGAAGCATATACCATCATAATATCTTTCGGTATTTGCAACAATCTCTAACTCCGAAGATTTTCATTTGAGGCTATGCTCTATTTTCAGATTCAGCATGCCAGATGCAGCATTTCCAGTTTACTTGACCATTATAGGTACCCACTAGCAGAGTTCCACTTTTGGTTCACATGCACACCTGTGCACACGAAGAAGCTGATAAATTACAGTGACTTCGTGAACAACATTAATTGCAAAATAAGTGAGCCAGAAAATCCAGCCATAAGATACATTGATGTTTTATTTTTATTTTTTTAATCTGGACATTCAAGAGCTATAAAACAAGTAGTTAGCTTATAACATGTTTGGCCCACAGATGGCCCAGACAGGCAACTGGCTAGCAATATGAGTCTAGGTGTCATCTCAAAGAGTCAATCTGCTATAGTATTCTTACATTGGTGTGTTCTTCAACACTAGGATAGCTGAAACGTTTGACTAACATGGTCTGGTCTTATTTTTTGCTTCGTTTTATTTGTATCTGTTGGAACAAATTGTCCCAACAACATGGCAGGGACCTTCCTCTTCGTGAGAGGAAGTCCTTGCTAGTGAACAGTAGAGGGGAGGAGAGCATGAGGGTGAGGATGACAGTCCATGGATGGAATGGATGGGGATGAGGACAATATCTGATGATTTTTTATGATACTTGGCCTTACCTTGATCTTTTAGGGGACTTTCCATTTCTTCACATGCCTTTGTTTATGAGTTGAAATTGCTTACGTAATTCTAGATGACTAGGTTTAATTTCCTTATGATTATGAGTATTGGTAAATCCAAAGCGGAACGATTGTTTCTACTGTATTGATTAATCATTTTCTTGGTGAATGGCTCAGAGTGGAAGAAAAAGATTGGGGAGCTGACTTACGCAAGTTGTCTGCTGGGGCTGCTCTTGTTGCTCTAACATTGTGGCTTGATCAGATGCAAGTAGGTCTTAAAAATAATATTAATTTTTATATGGTGTTGCATTAGTTGATTGAAAGAGACCAAATCAATGATTAAAAACTTGTTTTGAGTGGAGAAATAGTAAAGTTTGTTCACTAGCTTTACTTATAGTGTATTGTTTTTTTGCCATTGTCATGACTATGGACAGTACAGCACACACTTTTGAGTCAAATGAACTATAAATTAAGAAGAATGAAGTGACTACAGACAAGTAAAATGTGTGGAATGTAGGCTATTTATCTCAGTTGTAGTGTCTAATGCATTTCTACCTTTGTTTGACATTGTATGCAATTTTCACGTAGAGAATCGTGATAGGTTTTGTGACAGTAACATGATGAAGCATTGTCCTCCTTTTTTGCTAGTCTATCGGCTTGAAGCACAAATTAATTTTTGTCCATATCGAGGGCACAAATATTGTTGAATCTACCAATTGGCGGCAACCTGAATATTCCCCTAAAAAGCTTGAATGGTTGTATTGCGAATGAATTTAATACGTATCAAGTTTTCCTTTATAGCTAATATTTTGTTTGGATGGGCTTTTGTTTTGTTGATTTCTTAACTCTCCCTTTTTAAACATTACATCTGATATACTCTGCTTGTATAGGATGCTTCACTGCAGGGTGCACCAGAATCCCCCAAATCTATTGTATTGGTCACAGGAGAGGGGGAATATAACATGGTATCCTTGCGTAAAACTATCAGGGCTTACCTTTTGGAAATGGGCTCCCCTTTCCTACCATGCAGAAGTCGGTCAGGTCGCTTTGTGGTGAAGGCTTACTCTCTTAAGATGTGGCTGAAAGACTCTCCTTTTTGCCTGGACCTTGAGTTGAAAGATGCTCCCGCTCTTCCTAAAACGAACTCAATGAAGCTTACTGAAGGATATTTCATGAGAGCCGGTCTTGTACCTGTATTTAAAGATATACATGAGCGACTTGGAGAAGTATGGCCAAAGAAGTTTTCCAGACTAGCTCTATTGTCAGAAGAAAGCAGGGATGAAGTTATTAAAGCTGATATAAAAGGAAGGAAAGAAAAATTGGAGAAAATGAAAAAACAGGGTCTTGCCATAGCAAAGAGATCTAAAAGAGGGCCTCGGAGAGGGAAATTTGTTAAACAACAAAGCACACAGGAGGTTCTGAAGTAGTATTTGCTTTACTTAGTGTCAGATTTGCCTACATCAGTGAGAAGCAATGGTGATATTACCGTGGTGTTCATTGCTCACATTAGGTAGTGCGATCGAAGTTTGTTCTTTAGAGAACATAGTATTTGATTGTTTCATCCGAGGTTAGTTGATCGCAGTTGATTGGACAGCTCATATGGGAATGATGTTCTATCATGTCATTTTCTACAATGTCTAACCTACAACTTTATGGCTTCATATAAAATTTGTATAGTTTCTTTGCAGAGATGAACAAATGGTGAAGATAGCATATTTCACTCTGTGACACTGGGATGCAAAACAACAAAACCTCACGTGATATTTTAAGTAAGTTCTTTCATGTTTCAATTGGTAAAGATACTTTAATTTCAAAATTAGAGTTGTATTTGATGCACTAATTCAAACTGGTAAAAAAACTGCTTTGTTCTTGTCTCACAGATTTTATTGGTGATTTGATAACGCAGAAGATCTGATATATTATTCCTCCAGATTGTGTGAGCATGTTGCTGCCTGATGGGGGTGAATGAAACCAGCTTAGTATAAACCCCTGCAATTCAATTATTCTTGCTTATCTGTTGCACTCATGCACTAATCTTGTCAGGAACATGAGATACATTGTTACATGACTTCACATCACATCACACGACTATCAGGTGAGGCTTTATCTATGTAGGAGTTTTAATTGGCTTGAAACCTAATTTTTGCTTGCTTCTTTTCTTATTACAAGCCTTTCTTTCCTTATGCGTTGTAGTGCGGGTTAAGCTGGTGTTATTAACTATGGTGATTTCATTGGTTCGTGCCTCTATGGTAAGAAACATATTGATTATGAAGATTTTTCTTCGGTCAATGACCTGATAAAGAAGAAGAGTGCTTGTGATGTGTAATTCTGATATAGACATCTAGTTCTTCACAGTAGTTTAATTTCATATTGGAGAACATAGGACAAAAATTCTTTACAAGATAGTTTCTAGTTGACCATGTGAATAGTTTCTAGTTGACCATATTAACTATACTGTTCTGTTACTTATTAGGACCCTGTCGCTATATATGGGAGAATCATTCATTTCCATTTTCCAACAATAGATATAAATCTCACCATAGAGCCTTTAGGGGAAATTTTAGCCTCAAGTTTCTGTAGAGCTACAGCATACAGCGGAATTTCAGAAAGTTTTGTTTTTTTAGACAATGGATCAGAAAGTTTTCTGATGCTCTGATAGTCTAATTAATGCTTTTGTGCCCAACCTGAAGACACCTACATCGTGAATCTCGATGCCCATGCAACAAGAAGCCGATTCTCCTCGGAAAACTTGCCCTTAGAAAAGTAGGGCTTGTTCATTTCGCTAACATTTTCAACCTTACCAAGTTTTGGCATTGCCAAATTTTGATAAGATTGCTAAAATTTTGGTAAGATTTCATATGTACTTATTAAAATTTGGCAACAAACTAAATGTGCCCAAAATTTTGGCAACTTTACCAAAAAATGGTATGTTTGAAAATGACATCAAAGTGAACAGGCCCGTAATCTTTCAGTTATATCAATTCTCTATGACTATTTGCCTTTGAATTATGAAGTAACCAAACCTTTGCCCTTCTTTTCAGGTATGTCGATGCTCTAAATGCTTTATGAAGATATGCGGGAGGGGATGGCTTGATTATTTTGGCTTTCTTGAATCTTGATCACCTTGCATGAACAATTCAACACTGTACAAGCCGTATGTGTTACTCCCTCCGTTTCACAATGTAAGACATTCTATCATTTCCCACATTCATATCTATCTATCTATCTATTATCTATCTTCTATTATATACTAAAAGTCCATTAAACTTTCTACAAACGCTCTCAAGCTGCCACGTGGCACTCTGATAAATTAGAGAAAATCCTAGAAATTCTAAGAAAAAAGCAAAACACTACCCCTTCATTTTCACTTAAATTGGTGGGTCCAATATTATACACCGTTAGATGAAATTGATCGTAAAACAAACCAAATACTATGGGTCCCACCTCTCCTCTTTATACGTGCATAGGTAGGTCACGTACGGGTATGTAGTACGTACGCCTCCCTCCCTTTTGTTTCTTTTTTTACTTCTTTTTTCCATTTATACAATTGATAATTTTACAAACAAAGAATATACCATCATATAATTCTTTATAAACACATGTAACTAAATTAGCTCTATAATCTTTGAAAATAAAATTTACACCATATTATATGTTTACCCATTAAATCAATAATGTAAGATAGTTTCCACTTAAACCGGTGTACTCATTACTTTGTACTATTATTTTTAAATAATGCACTATTTTAAAATAAAATTTACACAATTATATTGTGTACCTATCAAATAAACAATTTAAGATCTATATTAACTAATATATACGTGCACTTAAACAGATAGACCCATTATTTAAATCATTAGATCTATTTTTATAATTACTTTGGACTATTATTCTCAAATAATACATTGTTTTAAAATAAAGTCTACACCATTATATTGTGTACCCATTAAATTAACAATTTAAAATATATATTAACTAATTTATATTTACACTAGAACAAGTACGACCCATTATTTAAATCATCGGATTTATTATTAATAACTAAAGTGTCTAAAGTTCTCTTTTTGGCCCGCTGCATAATGCACGTCTATACCTTTTCCTTTCGCATGTGTGACAAAGCGTCATGTCTGAGGCATCTCAGGTGATCATGACCGCTGCAGGTACCGATTTTGTTAATAACATGAAAAGAAAATTAAATGTGATGCAGTGAGAGAAGAATTAAGCACCGTGGGAACACTTAGCTCTGTTTAAGCCGAAATCGATAGTTGATTACATAATAATTATAATGTATTGTGTTATGTTGCATTCAGATTTTGTATTATTTGTTCGTAAATCATTATGTTACAAATGTGAGCACAATATTAACGAATATCAATAGAACTCTTACTAGGATAAGAGTGTTATAAGGGAGTTTAAGGCCCTATTTTTTCCCTGATTCCATCTTTTGGATTTTCGTTTGCACGCTCCACGCTTTCCAAGTTTCTAAATGGTGCTTTTCTTAAACATCTTTATAACTTTTTAGAAGTTAATTCATTCGTTTATAATCTCAAATAGCTATCACATAAATTAAATAATTCATCAATTTCAATTGTCCTAAACCCTAAACCCTAAGTAGTACATAATTATAATTTTTTCATGCGAGTCATGGTGATCAGTAAATTAGTGATCAACGCATAATCAAAGTCGTAAGATGAATCTGTAAGAGCTACTATAAACAATTGTAAATAGGTCTGTATATAAACACGGACGAAGCTATAATGAATATTAACATATATCCCATGCATATATATTACATGGTTAATATTATAATTACATGTGGTAAGTACATTAAAATTTCTTAAAATGCCCTCAAGCTGCCACGTGGTGCTCTAATAAATTAGAAAAAATATTAGAAATTCTAAGAAAAAAAGCAAAGTATCTATTACTTGATTTTCACTTAATCGATGGGTCCAATATTATAAACCATTAGATTAAATTGATCTTAGAACAAACTAAATACTACGAGGTTCCACCTCTCCACCTTCGGTATGCACCTACGTACGTGGGTACCTACGCTTCCCCTCCCTTTTATCCATTTTCCCCTTTCTTCTTTTTCTCCATGTATACGCTTCCCTCCCTTTCTTATTGTATCATGCACCTTCATGAGACGATTTAATCACAAGAATTTTAAGTATCTTGCTCTCACCTTTTCATTTATAGCCATACTACAAGCAATAGTTTATTATTTACTCGAGAAAAAGAACATGATTCAAAAGTAGTAAGTACTTAATCCATCTCTTACTCAAAAGTTTATGAATGGATTTTTAAGATACCTTAAGAAAATAGAACCCTTAAATTATTACAAAATACCCCCTCCGTTTCGAAATGTTTGACACCGTTGACTTTTTAGCACATGTTTGACCGTTCGTCTTATTCAAAAACTTTTGTGAGATATGTAAAATTATATGCCTACATAAAAATATATTTAACAATAAATCAAATGATAGGAAAAGAATTAATTATTACTTAAATTTTTTGAATAAGACGAACGGTCAAACATGTGATAAAAGTCAACGGCGTCAAACATTTCGAAACGGAGGGAGTAACAATATCTAAACTTTAGTTTGCCCTTAATCTATCAGACAAAATTTTTGAACAAACAGTAAAAATCTTACCTTTCAATAATACAAGTGCCCGAGCATACGCGCGGGCCACCTTCCTAGTTGATGTTAATGAATCTAGACATATATATCTATCTAGATTTATTAACATCAATATAAATATGGAAAATGCTAGAATAACTTCCATTATAAAACGGAAGAAGTACAAAAATAGATTTGGAGATACTCTCTGTGACCATGTACTTTTCTGAAAGACAACCTGAGTTCACCCTGTGATCCAGTCTCTTGAACAGTTGAACTACATCAAGATTTCACACGAAAGTGTCTTACAGCAAGTGCCCAGGGTATACTACTCATTGATGACAGAAGAGTTCTCTTTCTTTTCTAAAACAACGAAGACGTGCTTGGGTACCTGACTTATATTAAGGAAACAATAACATTACAGAAAAGATCATAGCAAAAGAAACTGCAAATAAATTTAAGGAAAATTATAAAAAGTTGGAAACCACGGATAACGGTTTGATTTTCCATGTTTAGTTTAGTACCACCTCGGCTGTCCAGGGAGATGTGCGGGAGCGCTGCGGGTATAAAGAGGGGAGGTGGGCTAACGTTTGATGGCATCTTTGCGCTTGGGGCAATGACGCAGCTTATGAGGTTATACCGAGGCGCGTCTATTGCTGGTTGAAAACTATTTCCAAACCCCCTCTCTGGCCCACCTGGGCCACTGAGAATTTCTGGAAGGGCTCTTTCTCTTCGGAGAGAGTAAAGCCCTATAATTCAAATTAATTTTAATTTTTTATCCAACTTTTGTACTCATTTTGTTCATGTTGTAAAGTGTTTTATCTTCTGGTATATTACTTTCCTTTCCGGCAGCCGGAATTCCTATATATGTGAGTCGATCGTTACTCCGCCTCGGACATGAACGTTGTTTGATTAAATTTCAACTTTTACATGTTCATCAAACTTCATGCCTTCACCATACAGTGATAACACGCAAGACCTCGCGTGCTAAGTTTCTTTTGTTAGGATTATCACCGCCATTCAAATATTAAAAAAAAGAGAAGAAGCTAGCATTCACTAACCACGGATTATATTATCACATTTCCATGCTGAGCCTAGAGACCTAGACCCTGGATTTATTCATATACTTTGTAAGACAACAAATAACAAATTTCACAAAGATTATACAAGCACACTTACATTGCTATAGCAGCAGCATATGCAATGCAAGATGGCTACTTTTATTACATACAGCCATGGCAAAGTAGTATTATTTAAATGCACACAACCCGTTTGTATCTTCAGCAATCACAATCAGTAGTATCGATGTAGCCATTTAATTGACATGCCGGATCAAATGAATGCTCTATGGGTGCCAACCGGCGGATCCGGATCCACTTCCTGAGCCACTTCCGGAACCACTACCGCCTGGGCCACTTTGTCCACCACCACCGCCACCACCTTGACCGCCTGCTTGAGCATATCCGCCGTATGGCCCATATCCACCAGCTTGACCATATCCGGAACCAGAGCCTGAGCCATACCCTGACCCGCCATTTTGTCCACCACCACCACCTCCACCACCGCCTCCTCCTTGAGCATATCCTCCACCATATGGACCATATCCCCCGGCCTGACCATAGCCAGAACCGGAACCATATCCAGAACCACCATTTTGACCACCACCGCCGCCTCCACCGCCGCCACCTCCTTGAGCATATGCTCCACCACCGTAAGGACCATATCCACCGGCCTGACCATAGCCAGAACCGGAACCTGAACCATACCCAGACCCACCATTTTGTCCACCGCCGCCTCCGCCACCACCGCCACCTCCTTGAGCATAGCCTCCATAAGGCCCATATCCTCCAGCTTGACCATACCCAGAACCAGATCCTGAACCATACCCAGATCCACCATTTCCGCCTCCACCACCGCCTCCTCCACCACCACCGCCTCCACTAGCATACCCACCGGGTCCACTTGCCTGGCCATACCCAGAGCCAGAGCCAGATCCCCATCCAGAACCATTCCCTGACCCACCACCACCTCCCCCTCCTCCACCGCCGCCCCCGGCGCTAGCATATTTCCGTGGCAAAGCATTGGACAGCCCAATGCTCAGTAGCACGACGAAGCTAAGAGCTACAAACTTGGTTCTGGCCATTTTGAACTTGTTAGATTGAAGAATGGGATGGATGCAAAATTGTAGATGGCATTGGCACTTATATATAGTGCCGGAGACACAATGGATGCAAGGCTGTAGTGCACAATGACACTCTATCAAGATGATCGATGCAGCTTCCTTCGCGAACGAGCGATAGACAAATATATGGGTTTGGTATATAATGACTTTAACATGACATTTTCTGACTGTTACGTGTGGATTTGAGTTGATAATACTGCTAGCGCTGCATGGTACGTCAGGGTAGATACCACGCGCGTACTAGAAATTCAGGCATTTGACCATGCAATCCGTTGCAGAGTGAGATAACAATGTATATCTAGCTATGTACCATAAAGCACCCAAGAGTTGCCACTAGTATTACAAAAATGCAGAGACGATGTCCTTAATTAATTAATTTGTTTTGGTATGCAAAGTCTAAGGCGCGTTGACATCACCTACTATTTAATTAGTACACACCAAATAGGCTACTTAACTTGTCTAATACTTGTGGCGCATGCCTGCACACTGTACCAGTCTGAAACTCTGAAGTCTCTGATGAACAAATCGAACGGTGCAGTGTCCACAAGCCTGAAGCCTGCATAAATTCATGCCAACTTTGACTAATACATGCAGGTTCTCTGTCTGTATGTGTGACGGCCTTTTGTTAGGTGTCCTACTACAGGTGCTAGAAATGCACCTAATTAAACAGCTCTGTGAGCCTCTGACGCATTCAATTACAAACTGCAAGATTTTTGGCTGAATAAAGCCCATAGATCGATCAGAACGACGTATTGTAGAAGCTTGAAAAGGATTAGGGGGAGAGCGAGCGAGCTTGTAATGGTATTTGCAGACTTGCTATAAAAAAAACTGTTGTTTGCAGATGGTTCTTGAATTCTTGACATAGTTCTATAAACAAAAGAATTCTTGACATAGTTCTAAAAACAAAAGAATTCTCGACATAGTATATGTGCAAGTGCGATCATGAAGTGAGTAGTTTGACACCATCAATAATCAGATCAATGAGCTGAGTCATCAAGTAGATTACCGGAGATTTCGTGTCCAGGAAAGTTTTTTTTTTTTACATAAGCGTGCAAGCTGGAGCGCAAAAATTTTACTACAAACTTGGACGCACAAGCAATCTCAATCTGTTTACCTGGCGAACTGTGAACTGTTAAGCATTCAGACATTGAGAGAGGATTATAATATGCAGAGACCATTACATACTAGAACGAGCCACGCAGCGACGCGTAGCGTGTGATGAGTATATACATCGCTCATGCACTTCACCTGTCGCCATGTCAGCAACTTCACTGAACCATAAACCAAGACGAAAGAATTGATCACGCAACAGTTTAACTAGGGGTATGTTTAGTTCACGTCAAAATTGCAAGTTTGGTTAAAATTGGAACGATATTGACGGAAAAGTTTGAAGTTTGTTTGTGTAGGAAAGTTTTGATGTGATAGAAAAGTTAAAAGTTTGAAAAAAAAGTTTAGAACTAAACGAGAGCTTGAAGTTGGAAAGAGACTGACGAAATGAGCATTGTACACATGACACATGCATATGGAGTATCAGTTGGAGAAAATATGTACGCTGCAAACCATATATGTTACGCAAAATTATACATCTATTTTTCAATCCTACGATAATTTTCAGGTTTATACTACTTATTTTCCCGTTCAGATCGATTTCTCCTATCAGACTCCCTAACCGAAGTGGAAATTTGAATTGGCTGGGGGCATTCAGTAAATTTGGTAAAGCTAGGTTCGTGGGCCAAATTAGAACCACCATTGGTTTTGTTGCGATCCAAATTATAATGGGCCTAATTAATTTCCCGAGGCCCGATCGAGCACTGACTCGCTGTGGACCAGGCCGTGTTCCATCCCGGCGGCCGGAGGCCGGAGCGCCACCGGCTGCCCATCCGCCCTCGCCTGCCTGCTTCCGACGAAATCCTGACTAGTACAAGTACTAGAGTCCCATTGGTTACCCTAATAAGCCAAAACAAAAATCAAAAATTAAATTTCCAAACTAAATTTTGAAGTTGATATTAAAATATTTCAAAGGTTTATTTCAGTATTAACTTTTAAGTTGCTACCGATACATATATAAAAGTTTTACCTATAAATTAATTTTTATTATTTGTAAGTCGTTTTGGCTTATTAAGAAATATGTACAAACGATGAGGACCTAGACTGGAGCTAGACCTATGGAACAAGCTGCTCGGCCTCTACTCCTCCGTGGCCTGCCCCGCCTCGCGCACAGCCTGTTCGACGGAATGTCCCGAGCGGGACGCCGTCTCGTACAACACCCTTATTATGCGCCTTGGTCACATATGTTAGGATTTTTTTTATTTATTTACGGAGGGAGTCACGAATATGAGAACTTGCTACACCATCTTTTCTTTCATTGTTGACAGAAAGAATATTAATTTTTAGCCCTAGGGCCTAGGATGACTCCGTAGACCTGTGAGTATAGTTTTTGTGGTTGATTTATAGCTCTATAGTGTAACAAATTTGTCGAAAAAGTATAGTGTAACAAATTTGGATTGAACAACTTATGTTTTAGTAAGGGTATCTTTAAACTGTTTTTTTTTTAAAAGTCTTTAAACTGTTTTTAACTTCTCTAAGGAAACGATAACCTAAATCACAAAAATATGACCTCACTAATTGCAAGTTCGGCAATCCATTTTAAACGAGAAAAATTCTGCAAGAATCTGGTTGGATCGATGTGTATTGTTTGATATTTCTGCCTTTGAAAATTGAAATGCTCCTGTGTGTGCGATACTGGACGCAGAAACAGTTTCTTTTCTTCCTGAAGGCTTTAGCTATTGCTGACATAGATAAACAAGAGAAAATTTTGACCCTCGCTTGCCTCGCCGACTTACCAAAAAAAAAAAAAAGTCTCCGGCCAGCCACCTCGCCGCCGGCCGTCTCACGACGAGTAGTCGTTGCTACCTCGCCGGGACGACCGCTCGCCGACGCTTGTGATCCGCTGCATGGACCCGTCTCGCACGTACTGGGCGTGCGACGAGCTTCTGCTGCTCTCGCCACCGGCCGCTTGATGCCTCTCCCTCACCGTCGCCATGGCCGCGGCGACCACCTCCTCCACCCTCGCCGCGGCGACCTTCATGTCCGGCCGCTTGTCGGCGTCCGTCTCGACGCAGTCGACGGCGACGCGCATGAGCCGCGCCATGTCCGGCAGCGCGAACTTCCACGCCGACGTGATGGCCTTGTCGAACAGGTCCCGCTCGTAGCCGTCGGCGATCGCCGACGTCGCCCACATGACGAGGTCCGTGCCGCCCTTGGCGTTCTGGAGGTATAGGGACGGGAACTTGCCGGTGAGGAGCTCGAGGAGGACGATGCCGAGGCAGTAGACGTCGGCCTTGGCGCCGACGGGGTGTCCGGCGGCGCACTCCGGCGCCCGGCGCGCGATCATGGAGTTCGGCGACTGCATGTGGTTGATTAGGCCGGAGTAGCCGAAGTCGACGAGGAGCGGCTCGAAGTCCGGCGCGAGGAGGATGTTCGCCGACTTGAGGTTGCCGTGTGGCACCTCGTGCCCGGCGAGCTCGCCGTGGAGGAACGCCGTGCCGCGCGCGACGCCGACGGCCACCTTGAGCCGCGTCGGCCAGTCCAGCCCCGCGTAGTCCATGCCCCGGTCGCCGTGGAGCACGTAGAGCAAGCTCCCCTTGGGGATGTACTCGTAGACCAGCAGCTTCTCGTCCCTCCGGTAATGGTAGGCCAGCGGCGGCAGCAGGTTGGCGTGGCTCATGGCGCCGAGCCGCTTCATCTCGGCCTCGAACGCGTCCTTGGTGGCGCGGTTCATGTCGCGCGCGCGCTTCACCACCACGGCCACGCCGTTCGCCATCACCGCCTTGTACGCCGACCCGTGCCCGCCGCTGCCGATCACCTCCGCCGCCGCCTTCATCAGGTCGGTCAGCCCGAACACGCCCTTGCAGTTGTTCACGATGACGAGGTCACCGGCGCCGCCGCCCAGCTCGTCCGCCTTCGCGGCCGACGCGGCGCGCCGATGCCCGCGGAGCGACGACCCCGTCCTCTTCCCCAGCCACGACGCGCTCCGCTTCCCCGTCGTCGAGAACTGCTTCACCATGTACACCGGCGGCCTCTCGTCGAGACCGTCGCCGCCGCGGTGGGCGGGGTCGAAGTCGTGGACGCGGCTCGACCGGTTGCAGCACAGGCAAAGCACGAGCGCCACCACGACGACCGAGACGAGCAGCGTGACGAACGCCATGGGCGACCTCTTGGACGAGCTCGCCGCCGCCGCCTGCACACGCTTGCACGGCCGGTCGGAGGTCGGCACGTAGCAGAGGTACTGGTTGCCGCCGAACCTGCCGGCGTCGAACTTCCGGAAAGCCTCCGGGACGACGCCCTCGAGGTCGTTCCAGGAGATGTCGAACACCTTGAGCGCCGGCGGCGGCAGCGGCGGGAGCTCGCCGGAGAAGGCGTTGTGCGCGAGGTGGAGCTCAAGAAGCGACGTGGCCTGCGCGATGGACGCCGGGATGGCGCCGGAGAGCTCGTTGTGATCGAGCCAGAGCTTCTTGAGGTGGCTGAGCTTGGAGAAGAAGTCGTCCGGGAGGACACCGGTGAACTGGTTGTCGGAGAAGAACATGGACTTGATCGACGTCAGCCGGTCGACGGCGGGGAGCGGGCCGGAGAAGTTGTTGCCGGCGAACGACACGGACCGCAGGTTGTGGAAGCCGACGAGCGCGCCGACGTCGACGGTGCCGCCGAGGCGGAGGCCATTGAGGCGGAGGCCGGTGACCTTGCCGCGGGAGCACACGACGCCATGCCACTCGTGCGACCCCGGCGCGCACGGCGACTTGTCGCCGTCCGTGTTGGTGATGAGCCACGACGACAGCGAGGAGGAGTTGGTGAACGACTTCTTCAGCTGCATCAGCGCCTCGGCGTCGGCCATGTTCGTCTGCGCCACCGCCACCACCGCGACGGCGGCGGCGGCGGCGGCGGCGAGGAGGAGGAGGAGGAGAGGCTGCGCCATGGCGCGCGAAGGGACGGGGAGGCCGGCGTGTGGGCGTGTGGGACGCGCGTGCCTAAGTTTGGGGGCGGGGGTATCCTGGGGCTATGTTTCTTCGCCGGCGAGGGAGCGGGCGGCTTTCGCGGGATAGCTTAGACAGCCGAGGATGGCGGGAAGGCAAATTCGCGCGTGTGAGGACGGATTTTGACCAGGACAGTTAATCTTAGAAAAAAATTTTCTAAATGTACATTTTACATGAATTAACTTATTAGATCACCTAACCCTTAAATTATTAATAATAATAGTTCACTTTATTCTTATAATAAATAAAAATATTTTATTTACTCTTTCTAACACCAAATTATATTTTAAACTGAAATTTTTAGATTAAAACATCCTTAAAATGAGAAATCACATTCGCCGTAAAGGATATAAATTTCCACATTAATTATATAAAAGAACTTTAAAAAGCAAATATAATATAAAAAGAACTGAAATTTGAAACAAAAGAAATAAAAAATATTTTAAAAAGTTAATATCGAACCCGGTATGATATTAATTAAAATCCAAAATTAAAAATAAAATAAATTTTGAAATATTAAAAAAAATAAAAATAAGAGTTTAATTAGAAATACAAATTATAAATTACTAAAATTCGAAATGATAAAACAATAAATATTGAAAAAATAGACTACCTGATATACAACACAAAATTCATGCAAACTTAGAGTAAAAATTTTTAAGTTAGAAAGAAAAATTAAAATAAGAGTTCTAGTATGAGTACAATTTAAAAATAACTAAAATTTGGAATAATAAACAAGCAATATTCGAAGCAACAGTATATGAAAAACTCAATACAAGATTAGTTAAAATTCAATGCGAACCCTTTATCATATGACATGCAATAGTGCCCTTGTGTGTGCCGTGACTACTACGAGTACGAGAGTTGTAAGAGTACATAAAACGACCCCCAGAACACGCCGTGAGTGGTCGAGCATGATGGATGACAACGACGGTGCCTCCACTACAGGTCGACACCACCACTACACTTGTTAGGGACGAGTGACGACGCCCCTCTGAGCGGAAACAACATGCGGACGCAAAAGAAAAAAGAATAAAGAGGAAGATATGGAAGAAAAAGATAGGGACTTACACGTGAGTCCTGCCATTTTTTCATGATTGTAATGCCACGTAGGCGCCACATCGGATAAAGATCCGGTCAACATGTCACGTAAGATGAAACCACCGTTCAAACCACCTGAGAAGGTAAATTGATTCGGTTTTCATAGTTGAAGGAACCTCTATACTTTTGCGGTTGAGGGATGTGATTCGCCAAAGGGAGATAGTTGAGGGAGGTAGAACAAACTTATTTCTCCTAGATGATCTCTCATCACTGTCGTGCTGTGGGCCTGGCCCGCCCGTTTGGACACCAATAGGCTAATTTCGTAATTATAATTAGGCAGTACAAGTACTTAACAAGAAAAGTGAAGCTTATCAAAAAAAAAAAGAAAAAAAAGAAGTGAAGAAGACGGAACGGTGGGGCTGTCGAAGCATCCGCGTCCTCCGGGCTCCGGCGACTCCGCGGCCGCGATCTCTTCGGCTCTCCCCGCCGGAGACGGCCACCGCGTCGCCTCCCCCTTCAACCGCCTCGATCCCTTCCTGTACGCTCCGCCTCCCCTCTCCCTTTCTCTACTCCTCTCGTTTCACTGTGGCTCGTCCAGATCCGGCCAGATCTGACGCGGCTCGAATCTATAGTGGCTGCTGCTCGTTGTGATCCGTCCAGCTGGTTGGCCTCACTGTGATCTAGTGAATGCTTTCAAGTATTGCTCGGTCTGTTCGTGTAGTTGAATTGCGTGGATCTCGCGTCATTCTAGATGGTGTTTCCTTTGCTTTTCATTTTTTGTTGATTTTTTTTACATGGGTTGATTATTTGTATCGTAATTTCAGCTATTTTTGGTCTAGTAGTTTGCTCGGGAGAATTGGGTGGTGCTAGTCGCGGAAATTGACTCATCAGACTGTCCTGTTTGCAGAGTTCCGAGTGCTGATTGATGCATTTACTGTCGCTGTGTGCTTGAGAGTAATGGTAATTTGGAGTGGGGTTTGATGCATAGGTCATTTAGTGTCTCATATTATGTCTCATGCATTATGCTTGCCCGAGGTGGCAGTACGAGCACCCAATGTTTGGAAAAATTAGGATTCATTCATCTAGGGGAGTTATCAATGCAGTATAGATAAGGGATTTGAGTGTTCTTGGTATTTGGTGAATTAAGAAGAATAGGATTTGATGTTTTTGTCCCTGCATTTCTGATTTCCCCTGTGCTAGGTTGTGTTTGTGAGCTGCTCTGTGAGGTTTATGTTTAATGGTGGCATTCTGATTCAGAATTGTTTAGATTGAAACTATGGGCTGTTCACTTTGTTGCCACTTTTAACCATACCAAAATTTGACATTACCAAAATTTGGTAAGACTACAAACCAAACACGTACTTATCAATGCTACCCTACCAAATTTTGGTAATTCTAGAAGTTTCCGCTCCTAAAAATTCTACCAAATTTTGATAAGGCAACAAACTAACACAACCAAAATTTGGTAGTGCCAAAATGTGCCGAAGTTTGACAATGCCAAATTTTGGAAGGGTTGAAAGTGGCTACAATCTGAACAGGCCCTATGTATTTCGTACATATGAATTTGGGTCCATGTTATTTTTACTTGCTGTGTAGAATGTGTATTGATATGGATTTGTGCAAAGGATTAGTCATCCTTAATCACTGGAACGTATGTGATTCTAAAATTGCCCTAAGAAATGCGATACTGCAAAATGACATGAAATGCTTCGGTGGTGGTGATGATCTCTTTCCTGGATTTCCTGCAAAAGGACATGAAATTCTTGGGCGGTGGTGCTGGTCTCTTTGCTGGATTTCTTATTTATATGTTGACTAGAAAACTAAGTATCTAATATTATGAAATATATAAAATAACACTTGAAGTTGGAACCACACCTTAATTCACCTTTTTTTCCCCTGGCAGGTTCTTTCGGTATTTTGGTGTAGTTTGCACTGGTTTCTGGATTTCTTGACAAAATGGTGAAGCTGACAATGATAGCACGTGTTACTGATGGCCTTCCACTGGCAGAAGGGTTGGATGATGGACGGGATCAGAAGGACGCTGACTTTTACAAGCAGCAAGCTAAACTTCTATTCAAAAACTTATCAAAGGGGCAACATGAAGCCTCGCGGATGTCAATTGAGACTGGGCCATACTATTTTCAGTATCCTTATGTTCTCTGTGGCTATTTTATTCTGGGTATTGTTCATGACTGTTGAATTTGTTTCTGTTCTTTTGCAGTCCGTGTGATATAGCATATCTGGCTGCTAAATATTGACATCTGAATGTGCACAGTCATTCGGATATTTTTTTTTATCAAGTTCACACGTTGCATCTCATTACATTTCTTTGCTGGTAATGAAGATTTCAAATATGCTGGATAGTTGTATAGCTACACAGGTAAACAAGAAAATGGGTAGGCATTTGATGAATCTATGTGATTGGTCCAAATTATCAATCATGACTGTACAATAGCTAGTCTATATATTCTCTAGTATTTCTCTATTTTCTATAGCATTCACTTAATTTTTAGGATCTTACAACTTGCAAGCACATGGTACTTATTTGATGCTCTTGTTGATCTTGCTATTAATATTTGAGTCCATTTATCATTACTAACTTTAAGATCATAAGCTTATTTAACCTGAGACTTACATCGTGTTCTGTTGAGAAAAGGCAGCACTCAGCACCCAGCTAATGTTGTTCTTGTAATGCATGTTTTAGCTTGTATTGGTTTGCTAAGTTTATTGCAGTGTGATCTTGTTGAACCTTAATTCAAATAAACAGTTACATCATTGAGGGGCGAGTATGCTATCTGACTATGTGTGACCGTTCTTATCCAAAGAAACTCGCATTCCAGTACCTAGAAGATCTGAGAAATGAATTCGAAAGAGTCAACGGCAGTCAAATCGAAACAGCTGCAAGGCCGTATGCGTTTATTAAGTTTGGTATGTTTCTAGAGTTCTCATGCCAGCACTTTTTTCAATTATCTACTCAAGTTCAACTGGTTGATAACGTATTCCTCTTTCTATCTAGACACATTCATTCAGAAGACTAAGAAACTCTATTTGGATACTAGAACCCAGAGGAATCTTGCGAAATTAAATGATGAGCTCTATGAGGTGCATCAAATTATGACTCGTAATGTTCAAGAAGTTCTTGGTGTCGGTGAAAAGCTAGACCGTAAGTTTGCAAATATCTCTTAGTTCTACCTTCACAGTATATGTCCTGATACAATAAACCATCAGATTTCTGTAACATGCATGCCTCAGGCTTACCAGCTTGTCCTTTCAATAGCCTTCAAAAGCTTATTTGCACTAATGTCAACTTACTGCCTTTTGCATTTAACTGGCCTGATTCTGATGTTTTCACTACTAAAGAATTGTGCCCACCTTTACCTTTTCTTTGCACTTCATTGTGTGATAACTGATATTCCGGTTTGACTATTAAAATATTGCTCAATCTTTGCAGAGGTCACTGAAATGTCAACTAGGCTGACTTCTGACACAAGAATCTATGCAGATAAGGCTAAGGATCTCAATCGCCAGGTAATCCATTTACACAATGACATGCACAACTTTTAGCAGATGCATTTGCCTGCTGTGCAGAGCTTTTTTCTATTAGAATTGTTAGAAATATCAGTATTTATATCACTGAAACATCTGATATTATTTATGTGCAGTTAAGCATGTGCTATTCACATTAAGTAGCATACAAGTACGATGATAAAATCGCCTATACTTCCAGGACCTAAATTAATATAGTCACTATAATTCCTTGTTGCCTCCAACATTAGCAAACATTTCCATGAGCTTATTTTTAGAAGCTCCCTTTAGCTAACAAAATGATGTTTGCCAGTAGTGTTTATTACACTATTTACGATCAATTGGTCCGTTTCATTGGATTCTAGGAGCAACCTAACATTATTCCTCACGAGTTCTCTCAACCATTTAAATGAAGCAACCAAATGGCTTTAGCAGCATGCCTGGTCAGAAGTCTTGACTAGTAACGTGGATATCCACATTGGCATTTGCTAGTTTGTATCACAATGTTTGTCGTCATGTTGCCATTAATCTCAACCTGCATTCATCTACATGTTTTACCCACGTTTTTCAGCGTCTCATTTATGGTATGCACAACCCCTTTTTTTCATTTCAGGCCTTGATTCGGAAGTATGCCCCTGTTGCCATTGTGATCGGTGTAGTTTTGATGCTCTTTTGGTTGAAGAACAAGATATGGTAACTGCACTAAACTAAGGAAGCTGGGCCTGCATTACCACACTGGTGCAAGAAAAACCGAAAATTTAGGTAGATTCTGGATCAAGAGATATCAAGAGATGCTTTGGTGACTTGTATCCCGTATCTGCCCATTCAAGCGACTACTTCAGCTGCCTTTCACCCTCCTCCCGACAAGCTATTCAAGCCAATTCGTTGTAGCATACAGTAGACCTTATAACGGAACTCGGACTTGATTTTGTGAACCCTTGGAACCGTATATACAAGAGCTCTGTAGAGTTGAATTTTTTTATATTGGGATGATATTGCATTTTATTTTGCAAACTCATGTAAGAATTCAGGCTGAATATCCTATATTACAATATCTCTGCTGCATGTGACTCATCATCATCTTAAAAATGACTTATAAGAACCGGGCCACCCGGTCTGGTTTTGGAGAATTTTTTTTTCGTTGTAGCCTATTTTTGGTCATTGGCTTATAAACCGCTAATAACATAGATAAAAAAAGCTTTGTAACAAATTATTTTTGGTGCTTTGTTCAGCTGTAGCTTAACCCATGAGAGCCAAAACATTTTTAGGCCAATGTGCCATCTAAAAACCACCTAAACAGTAAGCCTGATGATCAGCTACGTGAAATAGTGATTAGGTCCTTGCCATTGCAACTATCTATTCTTTGCGTTAACTATCGACGAGGTTTTTGTTTTTCTCTCTCTCCCCCTAGAGGCTCTCTCCTTTGTGGAACGCTTTGTTCTACATATTTCTATACCTTTTGTGTTTGGAGGTGATGAGTGCGGTTTCGTTTTCTCCTACAGTTTGATCCACACTTTCACAAAGCAAGATGCCACTCTGGAAAATAGCCGGCTTGTAAGCTGTAATCGCGATTTGCATACACCGCAGGAGCAACACCGAGAGTGAGGATTTCAGCTTCAAGGATTAGAATGTTTTTCTTTACCTCGTAGGATGGATTAGAATTATTTCTACTCCTAATAACCATCATCTCCGTCTTTGATGATCCCACAATTTCCACACAAAAACTCTCATGTATCGCAAAGGCCTAGCTCCCTACGCGAGAAAAGTAAGCCGTGCCGCTCTTATCAGCTGATCATGTAGCAGCAACAACACCCATCATGCATGACACCAATCGGCTGCAACCTGTTTCTACTGCATCTATGGTGTTGTTACGCGGGGTGGTGCGCAGTATGAACTGGTGGTATCGCCAGAACCTAGAAAAGCTTCTCCAGATTATCACCAGCTAAATTTCTCCAGTTGCTTATAATCTAAAGTTCTCCCACACAGGCTCTTACCATGCCTCAACTAGATGCCAATCCTTTCAACGATGTGATCCGATATGTCAAAAGGTTAATTCCCCCCCCCCCCTAAGAAAACCTAAGCCACACTTCTTGTGGCAACCACACTTTGGCTGTGTTGAGTTCACGCTAAAATTGAAAATTTGGTTAAAATTGAAACGATGTGACGGAAAAGTTGGAAGTTTATGCAAGTAGGAAAGTTTGATGTAATGGAAAAAGTTAGAAGTTTGAAGAAAAAATTAGGATCTAAACACGGTGTTTGTAAATGTCGTTTAATTCCAATGGAACATTGACTCAACGGTTTTACTAGGTTACCACACTGAGTAGACCACTGGCCAAATATGAAAATACTAGTATATCATAAGGCCGTAAGCAAACATGGCTGTAAAAAATATGATAGGTGAGTAAAGATGAAGCGCCAGCCTATCAATCTTTGCTCTTAGTCTATATTTTAATTTGCTTATTGGTATAGTCACCACACCACCACAAAATCATCAAATCAACATGCCACACAGGAAAAACCACCCAAGATGTTATTTAGATTGCACGAGAAAGTTAAGGGGTTCAATACCTGATTCAATAGTTCAGGTGCTAAAGTAAAATTTCATGACTTCTCCCTTGAAAATATGAGAGAGAGTTCCTCAAATAAAACTGTGGCCACCCCTATGATATGCTATTTTATATTTCAATCACTCAAAATCTTCTATGAAATCATTAACATAGATAGAAAAAAAGAGAGGGAAACATGGCATCGATAGAGAACATAAGTATAATTGTATAAGAAATTGATTCCATGAGAGGAAAACGAAAAATGAAATCCCAGTAAGATTGATGATGGGCTGTAATCTCATATTCCAACCGACACAACCAGGGTGGAATTTTACACTGCATTACTTAAGCCTTTTGAACTAAGCAATAAGTAAATGCTAAACAAAAGAAATATACCTACTACAACTACAACATACTCTTCTAGATATATCAACTAGGGGCATAGTCGCACCAGTAACTCTTTTAGGAAGTCACAATGTGCCACACAGGCAGCCATGCAGTGTGTGTAAATTTGCAAAATATAAACATGGTTAAAAAAAAGAAACACTATGAGAAGGAGCTGTGGATGCAGATAGGCGCAACAAAATTTTACAGGAAGTGGCATCATAGGAACCATGATGTTGCATAGCTACATGTAGAAAGTCTACAGTTTAAAACTGTAAGAACAAAACTGAAAACCACAGTGAGCAAATCGAACTCTTCAAAAGGAGCTATGGGTGCAGAAATATAGGGGCAAGTTTCTGGCACAATAACTTGCTGACACGAGAGGTTAAAAGTAGCCATGGGATAATTCCAACCTGCACGAGAAGAATGATGAGTTAGAATAGGTGGAAACTTTCAATCTTGAAAAATATTCAGAGCTTAGTTAGGAAATTGTAAAAATGTTATTCAACTATGTTAGTAATTTACTAGGGTATCTGGGAGCAACACTAAGTAGAGGGTTTTAAATAAGATACCACCATGCCTTATTTTGAATAGTGCCTAAAACTACATGTGCTTACCACAACACGGCCTGTGGCAGCATCAACACCTCTCCAGGAAAACATCCGTCCTGTCAATCACTTAAAACCATTAACTTACTGGTTAACTAAAGCAAGAAGGAAAAAAACCTAGCTGATGTCACCACACCATATCTACAAGTCAAATACACCACATAAAAATTTGGGGAAAATGAAGGATTTTAGGTTTGTCACTCTATAATAATCATTCACATTGGGGATCTGAGAATATGTGGCAAGTTATATCAGTTTCTCTAAGCATTCTCAGTGAAAAAACAGTCCCTGCTTGGTCAAACAATTGGCATATGGTTATTCTGATTAGTAAAAGAATAACTATCGTATTTTGCAATGCACACTAGATTCAGAACTCAGAAGCATGCATTATGTTGTGGCCTTATGGGAAGGGGAAAACAGAGCCGTTTTCCTAAGGTGTATTCATGTTTTTTAACAGAAACTTCTTATCCAGCAAATGCCATTATTACAAAGTAAGTACCACATTTTCCTGGCAGATAAATGTTGAAGTGCATAGCATACAACATGATGAGCAAACATTAGGTAACCAGCAAGGCTTTGTAACAAGCTAATCAGTAATAAATGGAAAGGAATTAACATACCAAAAGGTTGCAGAAGATGTTTGGGAACAGTAGTTACAGGAGCACTCCAAAACCACAGAATGAGCAAGCCGTAGATTAGAACCTATCACCAAATGGATTCGATGAGACAATGTTGAAAGTATATACATTACAAATATAAATAAACGAGAAAAAAAAACAAAGTTCATCATGAAGCACCTTGGAAAACAACATAACTCGTCCGTATTGGTTGTATAAAGACTGCTTCCCTTTGATGTCCTGCTGTTGCACTGTATGGACATAAGAAAAGAGTATTTCAATGCAGGTGATTGTACTTAATGCACCTTCGGACATATCTTATAGCAACTATTGAAATACTATTTGGTATCAACATTGATAGGCTTTTCTTTGCTCAAAAACTATCAGTCTGTGCTTCAAGGATTAGGCGACATGGGAGCAAAGATTTCTATGGTGCTACAGCAGGCAAAACACAGGAACAAACGAACCAATTCAACTCATACATTTTGCCAGTTCCTTTTCTTTAGCAGCAGCCAGCCGCTTGAGTTTTGCGGCTTGTGCAAACGTTGAGGGCCTGCACCACAAGCAGCTCAAGAATCAGATAAAGGGGAAAACTAAAGAAAAAGTCTCAAGAACAATTACACCGGAGTCACTGAATCCTAGGGTTGAGATGAGGGGAAGAGCAAACAAACGAATTGCATACGTGGATAGTGCACTAGCCTCCTTGAGAATCTGCGTGATTTCTAGCCGTAGCTTGAGCTGGTCATCAGTAATCGATCCCCTCTGCAAAATCGACAGATCAGGAGCGACGCAATTAACAAGACACGATCCACATTGCAAGCATGTCCACTAATCAAGTAATCAACATCTTCCCTTCCCCCGAACAATCTATAAACCCCTTCCGCCCTAGAGAACAAGATCAATCCATCGATGCGGAAGCGGGGAAAAAAAAAGAGAGGGAGGGAGAGCGCGCGCTTTCCCTGGCGCTGACCTTCTTGACGAGATCGAGGACTTGGTCGAGCATCTGCAGCGCCGAGACGAGGAGGAACACGAAGGTCGCCGCCAAGGACATGGTCGCCGGCGGGGGGCGGGCGGCGCGGCGCGGCGCGGCGGCGCGGCGTGTCGTGGCGTGGCGTGGCGCGGTGGTGGTCGGGTTGGATTTGTGTTGGTCTCGGCTCGAGCCGGGTTTACCCGTTCGTGGACGAATCCTGACCGTTGGTTTCTGGCGCAGCGGCGCGGATGGACGGCCCCGATGAGTCCGAAGAATCTATATAGGAGGCGGAGCAGGAGAGAGAGAGAGAGAGAGAAGAAGAAGAAGAAGAAGAATCCATGGCGGCCACGAGCTCGGAGAAGAAGACGGCGGCGGAGGTCGTCGCCATGCTGGATCTGCAGCGCCACCCCGATGGCGGGTTCATCCTGGAGACCTTCCGCGACCCCTCCATCTCCCTCCCCAAGTCCGCCCTCCCTCCCCGCTGTAAGCTTGGCCATTTTCATCGGGTTGCTTGATCTCGCGTTGGATTGTGGATTGCTTCAATTAGAGGTCATTTCCACTTACAGATAGCTGTAATCGATGATTTCGGGTCCGGATACTGTGCTGATTATTGCGATTGGAGATATATTATAATGTAGTTCAGAAATCAGTGTGAGTTCATGATTCTACGGCAATATGCTCGTCAAGATCATCCTAGTTGTTTAATTGTTGTGTCTTTTGATCCTACTTTTTTGAAATAAACTGGAGTAATTATAATCTACTGAAGACACAGAAAAAGAAAAGGACTGTTTTCTTTGGGCACGAAATTCTGGTAATTAAAAAGTATTAGTAGAATCTGAGGCAGTAGGTGTTCTACACTCAGAGAGTCAAGGTTCCCCAAACTAGTCAAGAAGTGCAAACTATTGTTATTTCCTGGCAGTTTTCTTTTGTGTAGAAAATTCCTAAATAATGAAGTCTGACTTCTTATACTTTTTAGCAAAATCCAGGGGTATTTGGCATTATATGGCTCATTCTATGTGTTAGTACAATAATAACAGTAAGAACAACATGAATGAGATTCGAATTCTGTGTATATCCTGCCTACACTGGATTGTTATAATCGATCAGATTTTGTAGCTCCTAAACTAGATGATTTAATTTCTGATAAAAAAGCTTCATGAGTTAATAAAGGGTCAAACATTAGTACTCCAAACATTACTGCTAGGTTCTGAGCTTGCGGCCAGATGTATGTTCTGGATCGTGTATACTCTGGAGTCTTGACATGTCTACTAACTGTCCATCAATAAACTTGTGATGAGATAATAATTTCTCGCGCTCCTTGACTGCTTCCTTTCTCTTGTAAAGTAAATGTTAGCTCTTGTAACTAAGCGTATTTGACTGCTGATGCGTGCAATTTTTGACTTGGCAAAATTGGCCTAGCTGCATTTTTTCCCCCTGACCAAGGGGCAACTATCGCTGTCTCTCCTTTTGTGAAGGATACACAGCAAGAGTCTGGTCAGTAGTATATCCTGGTTTTTACATCTAGGAAGACTCAAAAAAGGGCATATCTGTAACTCACAGGCCATAGGAGTATTTGTTCAGAAGTATTATCAACATGACTTTGATTTGTCGTTACTTTTACATCATTATATTTGATTAGTGCAAATTTGGTCCTTTGATGCTATACACAACTCTTTCTCTTGCTAACTGTGCTTAGTCAATATTGGGTGCTGAGTCTTTAACTTCTCATTTATCCTAAAAAAAACACTTCTAAATTTGGGGTTTTCACATATCAGATTAGCACACCATTGAGCATGAGCCTGACAAACTTCATTTACTGTAACACACAGACCAGAGATGGTTCATAATTAACAGACTCAGTCCCATGATAGTATAAAATATCTTAGAGCATATTCTTTTTTTCTTTCTTTTGAATTGCAGGCAAAAGCTTTGACCACTTTTAGAGGTTATTCATCAATGCATTGTGTGGTGCCGCCCACTGTTAACTCCCTAGTTAACCGTCATAAGAGTAGAGTCTGCTTAACATTTTAGATTACCACATAATGTTAACTCCAATTTCAGTTCCTGTGAGCTACTATAGATTTATAAATAAAAATAACACATTATCTCTAATTCTGTCAATGTGTTTCATTCCTTGTAGATAAGGTAGACCGTGCTGTGAGCAATGCCATATATTTCCTGCTACCTGCTGGAGAGATCGTTAAGTTGCATCGCATCCCTTGTGCTGAGACCTGGCACTACTACATGGGGGAACCTCTCACGGTCAGCAAATTTTAACATAAATATCAAATTAACATAACTTCTTGACTAACCCCATTTTTTTTCAGGTATTTGAAGTGCATGACGATGGACAATTCAAGATGACAGTTGTTGGACCTGATCTACGGCATGGCCAAAAGCCACAATACACAGTTCCTCCAAATGTTTGGTTTGGCGCCTTCTTGACCTGCGACATCGAGTCCTTCACCGAAGATGGAAGTGTGTTTGTCAAAACGCCTGGAAGAGACTCTGAGCTGCACTACTCTTTCGTCGGTGTAACCTGTGCTCCAGCATTCCAGATTGAAGACGACGAAATGGCAACACGGGAGAGCATGAAAGCTTTGGCTCCTAAAGCAGAAGCTTTCATCAACTACCTTGTGCCTTCAGACTGAGTTTTATTCCACTCCAAGTAGCTCGCTCTACGTAATGAACTGTATGTACCAAGCTACTGATGTTTGCAGGGCAGAAACCCTGAGGCCTGAAGCTTGCATGTATCATCACTGACCAGTTAGTAGTATTTAGTATTGGTTTGGTGACATAGTTTCTCACTATTTTTTCGGAAATATTCAGTTTGTTTCTCCTGGCAGAACCACTTTTCTTCTCAAGGCCTATTCTCATCTGTCCCATTCTTCTCTCTGCTCCCAAATGTATCCTCTTTGGTAATCAACCTCTAATATTGCCCTAAGTCTCTGTTCTTAGCCCAATTTCTCTGCTCCCTCATTTGTTGTCTAAAAACCCAAAGCAAAAACCAAAATTTAAAATTTAAAACTAGATTTTAAGATATTTTCAACTTTTTTAGCCGCTAATAAACTGTCATGGCTTATAATCAGTTCAGAGCAACCGATGAGACCCTTTGTGCAGTTAGCAAAGGATAAAAGCACGAGTACCACTTACAGAAACAAGATCTTCGGTTTAGTTGGCGAAATGTTTTGGTCGTCACATCGGATATACAAACACACATTTGAAGTATTAAACGTAGTCTAATAACAAAACAAATTACAGATTTTGCCAGAAAACTGCGAGATGAATTTATTAAGCCTAATTAATATGTCATTAGTAAATTTTTAATGTAGCACCACGTTATCAAATCATGGCGTAATTAGGTTTAAAAAATTCGTCTCGTAATTTACACGTAATTTGTGCAATTGTTTTTTCCTACATTTAATACTCTATACATATGTCCAAATATAGCATTCTATGTGACAGCGTGAAAAAATTTATTTTGGGAACTAAACAAGGCCATATTTGGTGATCGACGGTCGAGATGAACCCAGCTGGAGAAGGGAAACACCTGATTCGAAGAATCTAGAAGCGGCTGGAAGCCTCGGACAGAAGGCGGAGCAGAGGAGAGAAGAATCCATGGCGCTCACGAGCGTGGAGAAGAAGACGGCGGCGGAGATCGTCGCCATGCTGGATCTGCAGCGCCACCCCGACGGCGGCTTCTACCTGGAGACCTTCCGCGACCCCTCCATCTCCCTCCCCAAGTCCGCGCTCCCTCCACGCTGTAAGCTTTTGGTTCTTCCACCACTGCAGCTTCAAGTTTTTTTTCCCCTGGTTTATTGATGATGTCGCGTTGGTGGAGTAGTGATTTCTTCAATTAGATATCATTTCCACTGACAAATAACTGTGAATTCTTGTCCTCGGTGTTTAGTTCGATTTATTCCAGGAAACAGCAGCGTGAGTGCATTTGCTCATTAAGATCTTCTTAGTGGTGTTGTGCGTTATGATCCATTTTCGGAGACAAAGAACTAATGATAATCTACTGAAGACAAAATTGTAGGTTTTGAGTTCCCCCAAACTATTCAAGATGCACAACTTGCTATTCCTGGTTGTTTTCTTGCCTGGAATGTTGCTAAATAATGTAATAGAGTGCGTATTTTAGCAAAATTCAGGGGTACTTGGCTTTATAAGGCCCATTCGGTGTATTAGTACAATAATACTCCCTCTGTTTCACAATGTAAGTCATTCTAGCACATAAATATGAATGTGGGAAATGCTAGAATGACTTACATTGTGAAACGGAGGAAGTAGTAAGGTTACAACATGAACAAGATATGAACTCTGTGTATGATGTCTACACTGGATGACTACAAAAATATTGTTCAGGTTTTGTAGCGTTTAGACTAGATGATTTAATTTCTGATTAAAAAAATGCATGATTAATTTTAAAAAAAGGGCCAAACATTAGTACTCCAAACATTACTGTTTGTTTCTGAACTTATAGCGATGTTCTGAATCATGCTGTACTCTGGACATCTCTACTGACTGTCCATCGATAAACTTGCGACGAGAGGATCATTTCTTGAGCTTTTTTACTGCTGCAGTTTCTTTGTGAAGAACTGGTTCCTACATCGAAGGAGATTCAGAAGGGCAGAGGTGTCACAGCCATGCTGAAATGTTTTGCATAAGAGAATACTTGTTCGGAAGTATTACTAACATGAAATTGATTGGTCATTACTGCTACATCATGATTTTGTTGTTTTGTGTTAATGAGGCACAATGTGATCATGGACTCAACTAGCAACTTAGCACAACTTAAATTGGTACAAGTTGGTCCATTGATGTTGTACGCAAGGCTCTCTTACTAGCTGTGCCTAGCAATAGCGGGAAGCTAGGTGCTAGTTTTTTTTTTTTTGACGGTTAAGCTGGGCGCTAGTTCTTCTTTAACTTGTTTGGCACACTACAATTTAGCACACTGATGATGAGCATGACCACCTTCAGTTCCTGTAACACACACCACCAGAGAGGCTGAGTAGCTGACAGAGCGACACCCTCACACATGACAATATACTCTTTCTTATATTGATTTTTTAAGTTCAGGCAAAAGCTTTGACTATTCTTAGAGCATGCTCATTTCATCTGCTGTAAACTAACCTAGTTAACCATAGTCTGCTTACCCTTTTAGAGTATCACATAATGCAAACACTAATTTCAATATGTGTAAGTTACTATAGATTTATACTTGAAATAGCACATTATTGCAATAGCGTTTTCACTAATTTGTTATTATGTTTTATTCCTTCTAGATAAGGTAGACCGTTCTGGGAGCAGTGCCATCTATTTCCTGCTGCCTGCTGGAGAGATTGCTAAGTTGCACCGCATCCCTTGTGCTGAGACCTGGCACTACTACATGGGGGAACCTCTCACGGTCTGCAAATTAGCATAAATATCAAATGGCTTGCGCTCTTCAGTAACTTCCTGACTAGCCCAATGTTTTCAGGTATTTGAGGTCCATGACGATGGACAGATCAAGATGACAGTCGTTGGACCTGATCTACGGCATGGCCAAAGGCCACAATACACAGTCCCTCCAAATGTTTGGTTTGGCGCCTTCTTGACCTGCGACATTGAGTCCTTCACCGAAGATGGAAGTGTATTTGTCAAAACGCCAGGAAGAGACCCTGAACTTCACTACTCTTTCGTCGGTGTAACCTGTGCTCCAGCATTCCAGTTTGAGGACAACGAAATGGCAACACGGGAGACCATGAAGACACTTGCTCCTAAAGCCGAAGCTTTCATCAACTACCTTGTTCCTTCAGACTGAGTCTGAAACCATCACTCCAAGTAGCTTGCTCTTCGTGATGAACTTTATGTACCAAGCTACTGATTCAGTACTGATGTTTACTGCTTGATCTGAGATCTGTTCAGGACTCGCAATGCAGAAATCATGAGGCCTGAACCTTGCATATATCATCACTGTATCAAACTGGTTGTTTGGTTACATAGTTTTGACTCTTTTTATGAAATATTGTGATTGCTGACATGCCTTGCAGTTTCTCCAGGTAGCATCAGTCCTTTCTTCTTCAGTGTCTCCTGCTTCTGTCTTCTCCCAATTGTATCCTATTCAGTAATCACCCTCTAATATTAACCTAATTCTCTGTTCTTAGCCCCATTTATCTGCTACTTCCTCCGTTTCACAATGTAAGTTATTCTATCATTTTACACATTCATATTGATGTTAATGAATGTCTAGATTCATTAATATCAATATGAATGTGAGAAATGCTAGAATGACTTATATTGTGAAACGGAGGGAGTGTGTGCTATCTCCATTTTCTCCAAAACTCCTTTATGTCTTTGGCTACATTTGTTTAAATCATATCACTCTGATGCTGTAGCGAATCGTTCAGGTTGTTGGAGTGTATAAAGTGAATTGCCCGCCTTTCCCTATCAATTTAGGCTTTTAGGTGCAACTGGCTGGTGCATGCAACTTAATACAGCAAACCACCATCGATAGTATGAGTGGTTTGTTTTTTTCTTTTTTTATGTAAGGTCGGAATTAATTTCATTAAGCAAACCAACATCGATAAGCAACTGTTGTTTGACCGCGTATCAGATTATCTCCAGAATCAAGCAGAGAGGGATACTTGGCTGGCCGCATGCATGCAGCCGCGTGCCTATCCTTGTTCCGGCGAAGGTCTCTCTCATCGGCATCCAGGCGGCGGCTGCGACCAAAAATCGGCTATAATTGCAAGGGATCGTGTAGTCTCGTACCACAGGCTCGCATCCTACAAGGACCACATTAGAGATCTTCTACTCTACTCCCTCCGTCGTATAATACAAGGGATTTTGATTTTTTGCTTGCACTGTTTGACTACTCGTTTTATTAAAAAAATTTAAAATTATTATTTATTCTTTTTTGACTTACTTTATTATCCAAAGTACTTTAAGCATAACTTTTCGTTTTTTATATTTGCACAAAATTTTTTAATAAGACGAGTGGTCACACAGTGCAAGCAAAAACTCAAAATCCCTTATATTATGAGACAGAGGGAGTAGTACCGAGTAGTAATAATTTTCTGCAGCATATTGACACAGACAACTAATAAGATTTTCTTTCTAGAAAAAGAACGAAAGAGAATATCCACCTTTATTAATCACAATAATTAGTAATTAATTAACACATTAGATTGTTAATTAATAATTAACCTGTTAAGGTTAGTGTTTGTTAGTTATAATTAATCTATTTTTGTTGTTAATTAGTATAGAATATACCAAGATTAATAGTTATTAACTTATTATTATTATTATTATTATTATTATTATTATTATTATTATTATTATTATTATTATTATTAATTAATTAATTAATTAATTAATTAATTAATAGTTATTGTTCCATGCATTCTCATCCATCTAACCAAACATGAAATTGGATGACCATTTCCACCCAACTAAACAAAAAGTAAGATCACCGTAGCCCTATGGGATAAGTCCATTTTTCACACCTTAATTCTTACCTTCGTCAAAATTTCACCCTCAAACTCTAAAACTGAGTATTTAACATCCTTCAACTATCAAAATCGTTCAATTTACTCCCTTGTTTCAGATCAGGCGGTTTTGACCTACGTGGCAACTGACATGGCAGTCTGATTAGGGAAAAAATATTAAAAAACCGTGGGCTCAATATGTCAGTCAAAGTTTTTTCCTCTTCCTGCCCTCCTGTCTCGATCTTTACTCTCCTCCCCCCCTCTTTGCGACGGTGATGCATAGCCCCGACGCCACCGAGACCTCCCTGTGCTGTGGAGTGCCACCACGCGCCGAGCCCCTCAAACTCTAAAAGTGAGTATTTAACACCCTTCAACTATCAAAATCGCTCAATTTACTCCCTTGTTTCAGATCAGGCGGTTTTGACCTACGTGGCAACTGACATGGCAGTCTGATTAGCGAAAAAATATTAAAAAACTGTGGGCCCAATATGTCAGTCAAAGTTTTTTCCTCTTCCTGCCCTCCTGTCTTGATCTTTACTCTCCCTCCCCTCTTTGCGACGGTGATGCATAGCCCCGACTCCACCGAGTCCTCCCTGTGTTGTGGAGTGCCACCGCGCGCCGAGCTCCTCCCCAAGGGTCGCCAGCTCGCCGTTGTCGGAATCCTTGCTATGGAGCACTGCCAGCTTCCCTCGAGGGTCGCCAGCTCGCTGCCTGAAGAATCCTCACGAGAAAGGGACCTGAACAACGATGATGCTGGGAAAGGCCAGACACCACAGGGACTCTATGCAGTGCTTCCTTCCCCGCGCTGCCACCTCCTCGAGCACCACTGCTCCTCCCGCTCATGGGACCCGTCTCCAAGACCAAGGACAGTAAGGTCGGGGAGCACGTTTGACAGAGGCAGTGGCAGAGCTGTAGCTTGAGGCGGGGTGGAGACAGAGCTCGAGCTTGCTAGCCGGCCTGAGCAAGGAAGAGGTGCTTTGGGAGGCGATGAGGAGGTAGATCTCGACCCTAACCTCGTCATCCTCACAGACACATAGAGGAGGATGCACCGCCGCTATTCACTCATATCGCCACCGATGATGTGGAGGCGCAAGGGCTGCCTCGTGGAGGTGGAGGTGGATGTTGAGTTCACAAGGTGGTGGTAATGAAGGAGTTGTACATGAGGCAGATCGGATCCAGGGTCAACAACTAAGCGAAGGTGACGTAGGGGCTCGATGAGATGGCAGCAATTAATGGAGGAGCTCGTCGAGACAACGACACTTGGGGACATGAAGCTCGGTGGAGGGGCTTATTGCAGCGCTAGAGCTCAACCTTGCCTACGCTGACTCTGCAGAAGCATGCTGCTTGGATCTCAAGGAGCGGTGAGCTCCCAAACAGAGTTATGAGGTGTCGGCGACGGGCTTGGGTAGATGAGGTTGATTGACGAAGGCATCCTTTAGGGGCTTGGGGAGCCTAGTGGTGGCAGCGACTGGTGGGTGTATTTGATAGGCAACTTGCATTGAGAAAGAAAGCTATGGAAGAAGATGAGTTGTACTGACAAGTGGGTCCCACTATTTTTCATATTTTTTTTGCTGACCGTCCTGCCATGTAGGCAAAAACCCGCCCCACTTTGTTAGGGGGGGGGGGGGTAAAGCGTCCGATATTAATAGTTGGTGAGTGTTATTTATTCGGTTTTGCAGTTTGGGGTATGTTCTAGACAAAGACAAAAGTTGAGAGGGTGTAATGTGGACTCATCCCTATCTCTACTATGGATAGCAATATTCTATTATATGTTAGCCATGAACCGAACGTACCCTAAACTTTTCGATACTTCTCATGCGTGTGTTATTTGCAAGACAAGGGGATTTGGTACCTGCACATTGGCTCTTAATTACTAGTATTTTTTTGAACTTTTTAGATAACGTATATATATCCATAAACACCGTGATTCGACTTCTGATGGTTTTCAATATAGTGCTTCCTCACTCGGACATCCACCTAAGTGGAAAATAAGTGGACATCGGAAAAAAAAAACACTCTCTGGCCGTAGATGCCCGAAGCATGCATGTACAAACACATACATACAAGAGCCATCTCTCTCTTCAAAAAGAAAAACAAAACAAAAACAAAAGCATCTCTCTCACATGAGCTGGTGGTTGTTATCTCTCCAAAATTCGAGCAGCTGCAGAAATGCATGCATGCAAGAAATTAATCTATATATCGATTTCAGCTAGGCATCGAAGCTCCAACGACATGTAGTAGCTAATTCGTCATCCTCACCGTCGGCTTCTGCTGCCGGTGCTGTCACCGGCCACATCGCCTGGCTTCCGGCTGTCGCCGTCGGTGAGTACATAGGTGGTGGGTTTGCCATGAACTGCGACCAGTCCAAGCTCCCAGCCGCCACCTGCACCGGCGGCGGCGCCGCATTTCCCCTCACCACGCCGTCGGACTCCTCGGTCGCGACCTGAGCTGGAACAACAATGTCGGCCGGCGCCGCTTCGGCCGACGGCCGGTTGGCATGCGACACAGCGAAGGCATACACCTCACGCAGATCGCCGGTGCGGGCGGCGGTAGGCGGCGGCGGGGACTCGGGGAAGTTGAGCCCGGCAATGGCTTGGACGCCGCGGAGGCAGATGAACGCGGCGTCGAACGCCCGCGCCGCCTTCTCCGGCGTGTCGTAGGATCCCAGCCATATCCTCTCGCAGCTGCTGGGCAGACGGATCTCCGCCGCCCACTTCCCCCACTGACGCAGCCGCACGCCCTTGTATTTCCTCCTCTCCGCCGCCGCCTGCGCCGCGCTGCCGCCGTCCGCCGCCGCCGCCGCGCTCTTCTGCATGAAAGACACTGGCTCCATCGGTGAGCTCATGATCTCGAGTGAGTGAGTACTGAGTAGTGAGTGATCGATCGAGCAGAGAAGTGATCTAGCTCGAACTGAAATGCCGCCGCCGCCGCATGCATTTATATAGGAGGTAGGGTGACGCGCGGACTACCGCGTCGGACAGTGACGTGTCATTGGAAACTGAGGGTGAGGCTACGTACCGCGTAACTAGCTCTGCAGCTGCCAACTGGGCCCGCGACGAGAGCAGCGCAAGAGATAATTAATGACGTTAGAAGAAGCTTCCACTGACTGGTCAACACTCCGATCAAAAGCCGTATTTTGGATTTTTGCTCATCGCATCGCAGCAACATGTTACGGCTGTGTTCGGCACCCAGTGTTGGGAAAGACATAGGCTGCGTACGAAAAATGGAACGATCCATTAGCACGTGATTAATTAAGTATTAGTTAATTTTTTTAAAAGATGGATTAATATGATTTTTTAAGCAACTTTCGTATAGCATCTTTTTGCAAAAACGTACCGTTTAGCAGTTTAAAAAACGTGCGCACGGAACACGAAAGAGAGTTGTTGGGAACAATGGTACTGAACTAAGCCATAATTGGTCAAGAACTAGTTCTTTCGCAGACAAGCAATCTTGTTTTCCAATACGCAAGACAACAAGAGCTTAATTATTTAACATATTTCTTTTGACTGCCACATTACACGTTTTACTTGGCGATGTATCTTGTTTTGCATTT